CCTAGGCGGTCGTGTGTGCCAAGTTCCGTGCGAAACCGACGCCTTTTGGCGATTAGGACTTGGGGTCACTGCTGTGGCAAAGGCACAGCAGTGACTTTTGTGCTTCATTTTGTGATGTATTATGGGCTTATTTTTATGATCTGAACCGTTCATTTTGTAGGGTTTGTTGAGTACTTCAAGCCTACCAAAAATCATATTAATCGGATACCAATAACTATATGATCGAATTGCATATTTTTATACTATTTTTCAAAAGAAAAACTTCTTGTTTGTTTTTTTGGTTATCAATCTTATAGTTGTTGATATCCGATTAATATGATTTTTGGTAGGCTTGAAGTACTCTACAAATCTTACAAAATGAACGGTTCAGATCATAAAAATAAGCCCATAATACATCACAAAATGAAGCACAACAGTCACTGCTGTGCATTTGAGAAAGAATTGTTGGTTGACAATGAATTGATGTTTGTGAGAATATTTAGCTGACACGTCTATGGATTCATCTGTTGTGCCACTCTATAGTACACCTGCTGCTATCCATGTTCCACAAAACAACATCAATGTGATGGACCCAGCTGTTTTGTACATTCTGTGGTATAGGGTTCTAGGCTCACATGTTGCATGATCTTGTGTATCTTGCAATAGCACAATATATAATGCTCAAAAGATTTTGAACCTGAAATATTTATCCCAAAAAAAAAAAAAAAAAAACCATCTTGAACTTGAAATGACTTGAACCTGAGATTTAAAAAATCAACATCTTGCATTTTGCCATGCTACTCTACAAATTTTTTCATAGATTTTTTGCTTTAATTTTTTTTATTATTTCTTTTTAAAATATACATAAAAAACTATTTGTTGATTCTCAAATAATGAAAAAAATTGCAAATTAAAATTTATATATAAATTAATATGCATGCTCTCATTTTCAAAGTTGATGCTCTCATGTCACTTTCAGTCTACAACCCATTGTTATCTAACACTTACATTTTCTAGACAGCTACCATAGTAAATGTAAGCATTACTAGGCAGAACCAAAAAAAAGTGAACTTAAACTTTTTCACTATATTAACCGCAATGCAAATTCCCAAAATGTGGCCTTAGTCTTAACTTCACAGATTACTATACTCACAAATAAGAATCAATTCCTTAAGGAACTGTTCTTGAGTTGCTAATGTCTGGTTGGGCTGCTTTAGTCTCTCCATTGTTGCGTGAAACTCGCCCTTGAGTTTGTTGTCAGCATTTCCTTTGTTGTTTGAACATATGCTTTTGACTTGCTTAACACTTCCTTGGCATGCCCTTACATCTTCCTTCTTTTTACAATTTTATAATTTGCAAAAATTGAACTTAAGTTTCATTTTCTAGTTTCATTTCTATATTTCAACGATTTGATAGTCAGCATCCGTATGTAAATTCTAATGAAGAATTTAATCCACGAGTCTATCTTCATATAGTCTTCAGCAAAATTCCACAAAAATGGATCGTGCTAACTCAAAGAAAGCTTCAAATAATACTATTTGCAAGCACTTAACACCTCAAGATTCATTGTTTCAGGTAATGAAAAATCAATCAACAGATCATGTTGTCCGTTGTTACAAAAAAAAAAAAATCATCAACAACAAAGTCATGTAATTATTGCTTATGTTGTTGGCAGAATCAATAGATGTATGAACACTTATGTTGCCAACAATTAGACATCCATTGTCAGAATACTCATCAAATAATGGTGGTAATTCACCTTCTACCTCTGATTCCAGAGATAAGAATCTCTGTGCCAAAATATTTCACCTAACTTGATATGAAGATCTTCAATATTTTCCTTCATTTTTAACCCCAAGGGTTTGGCCTGGTGCATGAGGCCTGTGACTTGGGAGTTTGCTCCCTCCAAGGTCTCAAGTTCAAGTCCCTTCGACAACAAAACTCTTGGGCCACGGACTGTAGGGAATAAACCTGTTTCGGAAGGCTTGTTCGGGCTGTAGGGACATAGTCTGGTGCGCGCAAGCTGGCCCAGGATAATCTACATATCAAAAAAAAATATATATATATTCCTTCATTTTTTATGTGATCATCGCTTCAACAAGTTGATCATCTTTCCATCCTTTCCTTGTTCTTTCATTCATGGACTGTTTGTGGCTTCAAATGCAAGTTAATTAATCCACAAGAAGTGAAGATCAATAGATCTGACACCAACTGCTGCAGTGGTAAAACACTGCAGGGAGGTTGCTGGGAATATATCAACTAGCATTTGCTTTAAATTAACAACTAAGCATGAAAGGGTGCAAGGAAGAGTCCCAAAGATATATATATATATATACAAGGCATTACAACCCCATTATTGTCATCTAATGCTCACATTTTATAGACAGATAGATACCACAGCAAATGTGGCTTGTTACTGGGCACAGTTCTTTTTGATAAATAAGAGGTAACTTTATTAGAAATCAAGTATCAAGATGATGCAAACAAATACATCCAAACCTTCAAAAACAGATAAACCTAAGCTTGTAAAGTATCTAGGCACACAATTAAAAGTCTACCAAGTCTTGTTCGCTATATTAACCACTATCTAAGTTCCCAAAATATGGCCTTAAAGACTACTACTTTATTTCACAATTAACCAATCTGTTCCTTAAGTAGCAATCTTTCTTAGCACTGATTAACTTGTCATGTCTGGCCGGGCTACATAATTTTTCTATCTTATTTTTTGCTAAATAAATTTGGCTGAAAAATATGCATCTCTGTTTTTGAGCAGTGAAAGCTATCTTTGTACTTGATTCATCCCATTTTGTATGGCATGTTTGACCATGCACACAGTTTATGGAATTCTTTTGGAATTTAAAAAAATGCCTTTTGTCTGATTCGAGTAACTTTTTGGGGTTGGATTATGTGGTTAAATATAAATTTAAAGGCAGGCTATGAAGCACAGATACTCCAAAACGGCCCCCGTACGCGTGTCGGATACGGATCCGATACGGCGGGATACGTATCAGATACGGCAAAGAAGTATCCCATATTTTTTTTTTATTTTTTGAATTTCGGATACATTTGGGATACGCTAGGATACTTCAAGATACGTACAGGATACTTTCGGGATACGGCGGGGTGAAAAAATAATTTCAAAAACTTCTAATGGGGTTAAACTGTAAAATAACAAAATAATGTAAAATAAAACAAAAAAAAATCAACCAACCTCCAAGCCCTAGGTTCGCGAACAGTAGCAGCAAGAGGAGTCGTCGTCTCAATCGTCTCTATCGCAAGGAAGGTTCGCGAACAGCAGGCAGCAGCAAGAAGGATAAGGAATCATCGTCGATCAAGTTCGTCCTCTCTCCCTCTCCATTTCGCTTCCTCTCTCTCTCCCCCTCGCTCGATCTCTTGGTCTCTCTCTCTCCCTCTCGCTTGATCTCTCAGTCCCTCTCTCGCTCGATCTCACTCAGTCCCTCTTGTTCGATCTCACTGTTTCTCTCTCTCCCAGTTCTTGTTTTGATTTTTATTTTATTTTATTTTTTGTTTTTCTTATGTTTTGAGATATTAGGATAATAGTTCTGACTTTTTTTCTTTTTTCTTTTTTTTAACTCTTTTTTATTTAAAATTTAAATTTTCAGAATTTATGTTATTAGGTGAATTTTGACTCTTTTTGTAAAAAAATTTAAATTTTCATAATTTGTGTTATTAGGTGAATTTTGACTCTTCTTTTTTTATTTTTTATTTTTATACATGCTATATTATTAAAAATTATAAAAATAATATTTTTTTACGAACGTATCCCCGCCGTACCCGTATCCTAATTTTTCAAATTTTGTCGTATCGCCGTATCTATATCGTATCGTACCCGTATCCCGTATCGGTATCCTTACTTCCTAGAAGGCAGGTAATATGGCAAATTGATGATTTAGGGTTTTGAAATTTGAAACTTAGACACATAAAGCGGGACTGCCACAAATGGAAAGTAAGACACATAAAATAGGACAGAGGGAGTATTATTTAACTAATATGAAAGTTCGTGATACTTTTGGCTTTATGTGCTAGATGAGGCTCTCCTTGCATAATTTTCCAAGAATCTATCATATACTGGATTGAATTTCACTTAGTTTTCAGGTCGTTGATATTTTTGTACAGTTAGCACAAAAAATACAGGGGTAAATGTTTTCTGGTTGTTCAGGTTGCCTGCACATGATATTTGTAGAAGCTTTTTGTGGAACTTCAGCATTATGTTTCCTTTAATTTTATTAGGTGTTTGGCTCTTGGAACAAAACGAATGGCTCGGATGAATGCTATTGTAAGGTCTTTGCCATCTGTAGAGACCTTAGGCTGCACAACAGTAATTTGCAGTGACAAGACTGGTACTCTGACTACCAATATGATGTCTATTTCGAAGGTTAGCGCATTACTTTTTACAATTAGGTACATGAACACCTCTACCTATCTGTATGTCTTCCTTGCCTTGCTGTAAAAATGATAACATGTAATTTGTTAGGGTTGATGTTATGAAAGCTGATTCTTCAATATGGTTAGTTTATTTTATTTTGTTTAGTGCACTTCATTGTTAGGTTTTGATGTTTAAAATTGCTTTTTGAATTTCAACATGTCAAGTAAATGTCGATGTATTCCCTTTTCTTTTTTTTTGCAATTTCTTTTAGGTAATTTGTGTGTCTATTGGAGACTGTTTTAGGCTGTGTTTGGAAGAGTTTTGGAACCATAGTTCTACCCCTATATTCTAGTATGATGTTTGGTTTGGGTTTTGGAAAATTAATTCCACCCCTCCTTTTGAAAACTCGTTCCAAGCGGGTTTTTAAATTTTGAAATTTGGCCTACCGGTCAGACATTCGTCGTCCGGCCGATTGACTTGAACAGTGCAATTTTATTTATTTATTTTATTTTATTTTTTGGCAATTGGCACTTGTTTTTTTAAATATTTTTAATAAAACAATATTTTTGAAAAATTTTAAAATTTTTTATGAGCTTTTAATAGATTTTTTAGTTGTGTGTTTGGTTATGAGTTGTAAGTTTTTGTATCAGATATCATATGTCACATAAAAAATTCTCCACTCATTTTAAAACTCATTCACCAAATAAATTTTCTACACTCAAATCATAATTCCAAAACTCACAAACTCAAAATACAACTCCTATTCTCAAATCATATTTAGAAAACTCTACCAAACGCTACCTTACTCAATATGGTTGTTTAGCGGACATTTGGTCTGCTTATTTTTGTTTGATTTATTTTGAAAATAATATAATTAAGATCGATACTAAATATTACAAGAGTGGCCTAGTTATAGGCTTAGAATATACTAATTATTTTTTTTTTCCCCCCACTTCTTGTTGGTCTTCATTTTGTGTTTTGGTAATATACTCTTTGAATTTATGGATGTGCGAAACTTGTCCTTGCTACATTCCGTTTGTTTTCTTCCCTCCATTGTTGAACTGGTGCTGGTTTTAGTTTTTTTAAAGTCCCTTCGTTGTGTTTGTTCTTCTTTGTTTTGCACTTCTTCCTTCTCTTCAATAATTTTAATTCTCAAGAGGAACAAGAAGGTGAAAACTATTTGTTCATATTATGAAAGAAATTCCATATTGATGGGGACATTTTTACTTAATTCAGATTGCTTTATTTGATCATCGAACCCTGTTTTACCATGAGATGGAAAAACTTAATCTACCCTTTCTATTTCCTGCCTGTCCAGATATTTGTGCTTCATTCTGCACACCATGGTCCTCCTACTTCTGAATACAGTGTCAGTGGGACAACATATGCGCCAGAGGGCTTTATTTTTGACAGTGATGGGATGCAGGTATTTTTTCTTGAATAATATGCCTCCTAATACCATATATATTACGAACGACTAAATTCTTTTATCGGTAAATTTTTTCATAATTTTCTGCACTGTTGTGTATGCATTGCTTACATGTTGAAATCACATATTCCTTGATATGGTTTCCAGGCTAGCTTGTTTACATCATATTTTCATTCAAACCCCTCATATTGTATACTACTAAATTTTTTCTCTTCAAGTGCAATTTATGTCAGAGTTAAATGTACTCATCCCTTTATGACTTATAAAATGTTGGTTAATTGGATTGGATAGTATTATAAATGTTCTTTTCTACTTCCTGTGTGTGGGCTTGTTATTTTTTTGTCTGTTTTGTCTTGCGTTTGCATTCTGAATTTGAGTTAGTAATTGTCTTGACTTGTCAACCTGTAGGATTTGATAATATCATCCTTCGATTTATTTATTTATTTATTTATTTTATTCTCATCTTGAAAGAAATGTGAGAAGTGGAATTGTTGTCTAATGTTAGATAGTGGTTACTGCTGTAGCTACTTAACTGTGAAATTTTTTTTATTCTTCCTTTATTTCTAGGGAAAATTACATGGACCTCCCTCAGTAATTGTTCAAATTACACTCAGCCCCACTAGTATGGAAAAATGACACCGGCCTCCCTTGAAAACTATTGCATTACACTTGGGCCCACGCCATTAATCAACCGTTAGTGAAGTGGATGGAATTTGCTCATGTCATCATATTTTAAATGAAAATACCAAATTTACCCTTTTTAATTTCTTAAATAAATAAAAAAAATTGAAAGAAAAATAAAATATAAAAAGAGAAAAAAGGGAAAAGTGTCCATGGCCAAAAGACCCCCTCCCAAAAAACAAGACGTCTACCCTACACCCCCAAAACCCTATCCTCCAAATGACTAATTTCTATCTTATAACCACTGCCGAACTAAAACGAAGAACAACTATCAACAACCACCACCTCCGCTTTTGCCTTTGCCACGTTGTTGGCGCCTTTGTCTCCCATCATGTTGCTATTGCTTCCCATCCCTCACCATTAGAAGTGGATGGAGTTTGCTCATGTCATCATATTTGAAATAAAAATACCAACTTTGCCCTTTTTAATTTCTAACATTTTTTAAACAAATAAAAAAAAATTTGAAAGAAAAATAAAATATAAAAAGAGAAAAAAAAAAAGAAAAGTTTCCATGGCCAAAAAAACCACCTCCCAAAAAAAGTCGTCTACCCTACGTCCCTAAAACCCTATCTCCCAGATGTCTAACTTCTATCTTATAACCATTGCCGAACTAAAACAAACAACAATCTTCACCTCTGCTTTTGCCTCTTCCATGCTGTCGTTGCCTTTGTCTCCAATCATGCTGCTATTGCTTCCCATCCCTCACCATTAGGCCACTGCTTCCCCTCCCCCATGATGTTGCCTTCTCTCTCTGGTGCGATCCAATCTCACCTAGCGTCCTTGTGACTTCGACTACCACACACCACGATATCATCACGTACTGCCTGCCATTGCATCCCCCTTTGCCACTATAACATTCTCACTAACACTCCCTTTTTCCTTTGGCATACCCCCCAATCATCATCAAAATCAAACCATAACGATCGTTGCATTGTGATTATGCCATCACTATTGAAGCATCGTGCTTGCAGACATACCATCACAATTGGACCAATGCAAACTAAATGTGTTGTTTCAAATCAATACAAACCAAATCTGGGTTTCAAATTAAATATTTTCTTTCTATTCTTATTTTCTTCAAATTTTTTCCCTTCTTTGTTGTTGCTGCTGCTGTTGTTGATGTTGATGATGATGAAAGGAGGGTGATGATGAGCAGATTGTATGAGGTGATGGACGTATTGTAGGTGATGATAGACGGATCCTCTCTCTCTGTGTGTGTGTGTGTGTGTGTGTGTGTGTGTGTGTGTGTGTGCAATGGTGGCTGTTGGTTGTGGTTAGGGCTCCGGTGATGGTGACTATGGGTTGGAGTTACGATTTCCGTGTGTGAGAATATATTGTGTATTTTCTATTATTTTCCAAATTAGGCATGATTGTGGTTGTACAAATTAGAGTCCTATTAGAGGTATGGTTGTGTTAGAGTCCTATTAGAGGCATAATTGTATTCTCCCTTTTGGTTTAGGATTTAGGACTATATAATCTAAGGTCTGATTGTAATCATTCACACATTGAATATACAAGATACAGAAAAGCTTTCAAGAATCTTACATGGTATCAAAGCCACCACCAGAACCCTAGAAATTGTCTTCCTCTTCAGTCTCTGTGTGAGTTGTGAGTCATCTTCCTCTTCAGTCTCTGGTTCTCAAATCTTCTCCTTTGATCGATCGAAGTTCCCTTGACCTTGGCGAGAACCAGATCACCGAGACGCAACTCACTCTTCCCCTTCACTCCTCTGGCACCACGTTTACGCGTCAGAGACATTGACGCTACAAAACCCTAGTGGGCACCACCAACCACGTCGTAATCTCCCTCTTCCTTGACTTCGGCTTCAATCTCTCTCTCTCTCTCTTCTCTGATTTGGTTCTCTTGGCTTTAGACTGGTTCTTTTGACTTCAATACTCTAGTTAAAAAAAAAAAAAAAAAATAGTTTTTATATTTTACATTCAGACCTAACACTCTTCTGATTATTACACTATGGTTTTGGATTTATTGGCCTTACCCCCATCAGATTTCTGTGTATTACCCTTCGACCCCTGTTTTGGCTATTTTGTTGAATATAGGGTTTATTACACTTTAATCCCTCAATTTTCTAGTTATTACGATGTCTCTGGCTTTTGATGAGTGTGCCTTCTATCATCAGAAGGGCCATTGGAAGTACCACTGTCCCAAGAAAGGACGTCAGCCTGTCTCATTTTTTCAGCAATCTCAGAACCACTTTCGGGCTCCTGCCGTGTATGTTGCATCTGCTCCGACTCTTGATCTTGACTTGGCTTCCTTGACTGCTCAGATTAGTCAACTTTAGCATATATTGTCCACCTCCCAGCCATCTCCATCTACTTCCGTTGTTTCATCTCTTCATTCAGGTTTGCTTGGGTCTTCTTCAGGTATCTTTTCGTCTCTCTGGCTTTTTGACTCTGGTGCCTCTCATCATATGATTTCCCGTCTCTCCTTACTTCACAATTGTACTCCTCCACCCTTTCCTATTACTGTCAATGCGGCTAATGGATCTGGTATGTCTGTTGTATCTGTTGGGTCTGTCCTACCGTCTGCTATGTCTGTTGTCTCTATTCCATCTGTCCTTTATGTTCCTCAGTTATCTGTCAGTTTATTATCTATCAGTCAGCTTGATGCCGCTAGTTTTGATGTTATCTTTTCTTCTGCTATCTACTCTGTACAGGATCGAATCTCTAAGCAGCAGATTGGGATCGGCCGTAGAATTGGAGACCTCTATGTGGTGGAGAGCTTGCATTTGCTTATAGCAACCTCTTTGACTGCGTTTTCTTCGTTTCAGTTAGATTCTTTGTCTAGTCCTTTCTACTTATGGCATTCTCGATTAGGGCATTTGTCTGCTGACCGCTTACGGTCTTTAGCTCAGTCGGGTATTTTAGGTAAAGTTTCTCCTAGTGAACTTATTGAATGTCGGGGGTGTAAAGTTGCCAAAATGACTACTGTCCGTACTTTGATCTCTGTCGCTGCTATTCGTTCTTGGCCTCTTTATCAGATGGATGTTAAGAATGCTTTTCTTAATGGCCATCTCACTGAGGAGGTTTACATGCGTCCTCCCCCTGGCCTTCACCATCCCTCTGGACAGGTTTGTCGTCTTCGGCATGCTCTATATGGTCTGAAACAGTCTTCCCGTGCTTGGTATGATCGATTTCAGATTGCTGTTACCGAGCTTGGGTTTCATCCTTCAGCTTCTGACTCTGCTTTATTTCTGCGACATGCCTCGGTTGGTTTTGTTGCTCTCTTGCTCTATGTGGATGATATGATCATCACTGGCTCGGACTCTTCTGCTATCTCTGAGGTCAAGCAGCATCTCTTCCGCTTCGAAATGAAGGATCTGGGTCCATTACGGTATTTTCTTGGTATTGAGGTTGCTTCTTCTCCCAAGGGCTATTTTCTGTCTCAGGCTAAGTATGCTAATGAAGTCATTCATCGTGCTAGTCTTACTGATACTAAGGTTTCTGATACACCTACTGAGCTTAATGTGAAGCTTAACTCTACTAATGGTGTCCCTCTGGATGATCCCACTTTATATCGCGAGCTTGTGGGTTGTTTAGTTTATTTGACTGTCACTCGTCCTGACCTTGCTTATGCTGTTCATGTGGTTAGTCAGTTTGTTTCTGCTCCTCGCTTTACCCATTGGGCTGCTTTGGTTCGCGTTCTTCGCTATCGCAGGGGTACTATCTTTCAGGGCTTATTGTTGTCCTCTACTTCCTCTTTGGACTTGGTGGCCTATGCTGACTCTGATTGGGCTGGTGATATTACTGATCGTAAGTCTACGTCTGGTTTTTGTATGTTTCTTGGAGATTCATTAATCTCTTGGAAAAGCAAGAAACAATCAGTCGTTGCTCGCTCTACTGCCGAAGCTGAGTATCGTGCTATGGCTCATGCCACTGCTGAGATTGTTTGACTTCGTTGTCTCTTGTCTAATTTGGGTGTCTCTCAGTCTTTTCCAATCCCTCTCTACTGTGACAATCGCAATGCTGTTCAGATTGCTCACAATACTGTCTTTCATGAGCGGACGAAACATATTGAGATTGATTGTCACTTTGTTCGCCAACATCTGCAGTCTGCCTCTATCTCGCTTCCTTTCATCCCTTCGGCTTTGCAACTTGCGGACTTCTTCACCAAGACTCACACTACCGCTTGGTTTCAGTTTCTTCTTAGCAAACTCTCAGTGTTTTCTGCTAAAACACCTTGAGTTTGAGCGGGGGTGTGAGAATATAAAACACTGCTGAGATTGTTTGACTTCGTTGTCTCTTGTCTAATTTGGGTGTCTCTCAGTCTTTTCCAATCCCTCTCTACTGTGACAATCGCAATGCTGTTCAGATTGCTCACAATACTGTCTTTCATGAGTGGACGAAACATATTGAGATTGATTGTCACTTTGTTCGCCAACATCTGCAGTCTGCCTCTATCTCGCTTCCTTTCATCCCTTCGGCTTTGCAACTTGCGGACTTCTTCACCAAGACTCACACTAACGCTCGGTTTCAATTTCTTCTTAGCATATATTGTGTATGGGGTGAGATGGAGGTGGTGGGTGCTGTGGGTCATGTTTGTGACAATGGCTGTGACAATTGAGTGTGGAAGGAAGAAGAGGTGTGGATGGAGGATGTTGTCTGTAGTAGTTGTTGTTGCTTTTTTTTTAAAGTATATGAGGGCACTGTGTTTTATATTTTCTGTTAGTGGGGTTAAGTTTTGTGGCCCATTAGAGGAGGTTTGTGTCATTTTTCCGTACTAGTGGAGCTGCGTGTATTTTATGCAATAGTCAAGGGAAGTCAGTGTAATTTGCCCTTATTTCTATTATGCTACCTGAACCTTTGATGATGTCTTGCGTTTGAGAGATTAAGAAATCACTTAAAATTTTTGAAATTCAGGTGGTCCTGAAGTCATGTTGGATTTTTAATGCAACTGCCCTCAGTTTGGTTCATTTGTTATTGTTGTTGACCAAAAGGTTGAGATAATGACATTAGCATTGATGCAGCACCTGAGATTTATTAGATTTCTAATCGGAACCTTCCTTCTTTTATTCATAAACATAAAGAACAAAGTATTCCTTACTCTTGCTAACAAGTAAGTAAACATCTTGGTATTTGTAGACCTTTCAGAATATTTTGTCAAGCACTTTACATGGGATTTTATTGTTTTGCGGCTTGAGTTTCCAACTCAATTTCCTTGTCTTTTTCACATAGCAATGTGTTCAGCCCTATGCAACAAGTCTGTTTTACAGTACAACTCGGACAAGGGGAACTATGAAAAAATGGGGGAGTCAACTGAAGTAGCCCTTCGTGTATTGGCAGAGAAGGTTTTGCAGTCAATTGTTGCTTTGTTTCAGTTTTCTCCTGTCTATCATCAGCTTACTTGCTGTTAATTTGACTGTGAATTATAAGGTACAAATGTTTTCATGTCACCGTTGTTTCCAGGTTGGTCTTCCTGGCTTTGATTCATACCTTCTGCTCTGAATATGCTGAGCAAGCATGAACGAGCTTCTTACTGCAATCATTACTGGGAAGACCAATTTAAAAAGGTTTGCTTCTACATATGGTAGCTGTTTGATTTTTTATTTGCTGAGTATGATGTACCCCGAATTCTAAGGAATCTAATGTTTGCAACACTTATAATGATTGTTGATGTGTGGCCAGTATGATAGACTATTGGCAACTTGGCTTAGCGTGCTCCCTTTCCAGTTTTTGCAGTGATTTTCCTCCCTTTTTCGCTGTTATTTGTGTGTTTGTTTACAAAATGACAGCCAGTATTGATGAACTGGAAGCATAGACACTCCAACGGGGCACCTGTACACGTGTCTGACAAACTGTTGGACACACCTTAGGGTGTGTACCAATTTTTGTTGTGTTTATTTATTTATTTTCCCCTTTTTTTCCTGGTCTTGCAGAGGACATGTGTCCTTTTTTGACGTGGGGTGGACATAGCTGGCCAACAGAGAGAGAGGGAGAGAGAGAGAAAGAGAGAGAGAGAGGTGACTGGAAAGAAACTATTGCTGTATAAGCCTTCCGGCAAAGGTGGCTACAGGATAATCAACATTGTGGTTGGCAGTTTTAATGGAATTTAATTGTTATGTAAATGTTATGTTGATAAAATATTCATATTTTTCACATGGAAAATTAGAAGTATATTTTTTGCTGTGTTCTGGCCATGTATTGTCCTGCATTTCACGTGTCGGTGTTTTTGCATCGTATCGTATCCGTGTTGCGTGTTTGTGTCCGTGTCCATGTCGCCATCCTTAGATGATGCAGTTAGTATCCATTGGTTTTTTATTCTCCCTAATAATATTAGAAACTCTGGTGTTTGAACTGCATAGATAATAATAATAATTCTAAAATATTCAACAGTGAGAAAGATCATATTGTCATTCTTCCTTTCTTTGTATCATATGTTAACATTTTACATGTTTGAATGAGAGAAACTACATTTCAGTATACAATCATGGCAGTATAGTTGTTAGTCATCATTTGCCTTGTTATTTACAATATTGTCAACTTTCCAACTCTAGTTCGTACTGGTTGCTCTTGAATTGTTATTGTTATCAAATGTAACGGTTATTTTTTTTCGTAGAGAAATGAAGAATGTGAGTTCGTTGTGTATGAGATTATGACAAGCTCTTGAGAAAAGTATACAATTTTGGTTTGATCTTTCATGTTTGTTTTCCTGTGGCATTGAGGCTGGACACAGGACACATATCAAGGCGATATGGACACACTTGACACGACAATTTTATTATTATTGTTATTGTTATTATTATAAGAAATCAGGACAAAGACTCGGTAAGGATATGACAACAAATAAAATATATTTTAGGTGTGTAAATGAAAATAAAGCTTTTTCATCACTTTTTACAATTCAAATACATTTATATTTTATTATAACAAATAGTAAGAATTGTTTTCCCTATACCTACATATTTGAAAGGAAGTGTAAACAGAAGTCCGAATATCTATCTTAGAAAGCTTTATTTATAAACATAATTCGAAGTTTTGGACTTTAGAATTCCAAAAATTAAAAGAAGTTTAAAGCAGAAATAAATTGGTATAAATGTAATTTGTTTTTATTATATAATTGAGTAGCAAGTTTTTTTTGTTATGCAATATGTTTTATGTGTCTTTATGGCCATGTGTGTCCCATATGTTTCCAGTGTGTCCCGGTTCTAAAAAGTTCAAAAATAATAGGTTTCTTTTGGTTGTGGTTCAGACATGGGTCAGGGAGTGTGTCATTGTGCATGTTAAGGATGCAGCTCAATATTGCAGAGATAGAGACTTCTAATTTTCTTTGTCAAAATTGGTACATACACTTTTATTTGCTAGAGTTGTAGTGATGTTCCAAAAGGTACTTGTTTGATTAAACATTTAGTGGTGCGTTGATTGATTCAATATCCATGAACCTAGAAAAGAAGGTTGAGAGTTGAATTGAACGTAAAACAAAAAATTCTTGGAGTTCTTGATTGAGATGTATTTCACACAGAACGGAATGAAGTCTCAATAAATGGATCTTGTAGATCTAGTGATAAACATTTGCGTCGCTTAAATTTTTGATATCTCCTTGTCAAATCATGCTTGTGAATCTATACCCTGCAGGTCTCTCTTTTGGAATTTTCTCATGATCGGAAGATGATGACTGTCCTTTGTAGTCGCAAGCAGATGGAGATTATGTTTTCAAAAGGTGCTCCAGAGAGTATCATTTCTAGATGTACGAGTATCCTCTGCAATGATGATGGTTCCACTAGTCCACTAACTGCAAATATTCAAACTGAGTTAGAGTCCAGATTTCACAGGTTGGGTTTGCTTCCCTCTATATTCATACCAAGAACTTTTACCTATTTACATACACCAATACATCCACACGCACATAGATATAGCTGTTTATATTTATATATATCATATGTATGCAATTATGTTTTTTGACTAGTATGGGTTTCAGCCTTACACAAAACAAGAAGGCTAAAAGGTACAAGGGTTACACAACTAATTACCCTCCCTTCTTTAAAATCTAATAGCAAGAAGACTCACAAAACTCTTAGTTGTTCCCAACAGTGAAGCATAGACACGGACATGGGACAAGGATACAACACGACACAAACACGTTGACATGGCAAATTCTACAAAAGTAGGACATGGGCACGGTTCGGACACGCCACAAATAATTATATCTTGATATTATATTATCTAGGAATATATTCATATTATATAGTTATATATGTGCGTAATATATACAAAATTAAATAATTACTTTATATCAAATAAATTTTGTATCTAATTCTCTTACATTTTTTATTTTTCATTTAATTTTATGTGAAACTTCTATAGGACATTTCTTAATAATTATACATTTCTTTAAGGGCATTATAAGATATTTTTGTGAAATTCTCAAACTTTGAATATCATGTGTTAGCAAATGTTCAAGAAGTGTTGGTCTCATGTTTATTTTCCAGTGATAGACATGGCCAAGAAGTGATGGACACATTACAAAATGATTGTTGGACACTTGTCCGTAGGCAGTGTTTTAAAAAGCTCTAGGCGCATCGAGGCGCCAAGGTCACCTGGAGCCTAAGCGTCGAGGTGCGAGGCAAGGTGCGCGCCTCACCAAAGCGAAGCGCAAGTTATAGAAGTTAAGCAAAATATTAATATAGCACAATTTTCAACATAAGTAAATATTTAATATGCATATTATTAATTTTTTTAATAAGAAGAGAAGAAGAAAAAAAATAATTAATTTTTAATATATATATATATTATTTTATTTATTTATTATATTTTTTAAATAATGTGTTTCAATTAATTTTTTTATTTTATTTCATATACATGTGTATTTTTTTTTATTACTATGTATAAGTATATATTATATTTTACATATTATCTATAAGTATATTATATATTATATAATAGGTATTGTATAATATTATATTATATATTTTATATTTGAATCAATTATATTTTATATATTATCTAATATCTATAAGTATATTATATATTATATATTATATAATAGGTATTATATAATATTATATATATATATGAATCAGGAAGATAAAGAGAGAGACAGAAGAGAGAGCGAGAGAGAGATCGCGATCGCGATCGCGAGAGAGGTGAGAGAGAGCGATCGCGAGAGAGACAGAAGCGAGAGAGAAGACGACGAAAGAAGAGAAGAGAAGACGAAGCAGAAGAGAAGAACCAGAGAGAGAAGAGAAGAAGAGGAGAAGAGAGCAGAACCTACGTGGCGTGGTATGTACTCGTCGCGTCTTCTTCTTCTTCTTCTCCACTGGGGTTTTTTTTTTTAATAATGTTTTTGCTCTTTTGACTCACGTTTTGAAAATTTTATACTGTAAATGTGATTTCATCCCATGTGGGTATCCACACAGAACGCCGAGGCGCGCAAGGCGCTCGCCTTGCGCTTCGTAATAAGGCGCTCGCCTCATCGCCTAGGCAGCGCTTCCCCTATGTCGCCTCGCCTCACCAGGCCTGAGGCGCAAAGCTGTGCCTTGCCTTGCCTTGCCTTGAGCTTAGGCGTGCGCCTAAGCGCGCTTTTCAAAACACTGTCTGTAGGGATGGCAATTTAAACCCAACCCGACGGGGACCCGACCCCGATTTAAGCGATTTTTTCCCAAAAAATATCCCCAACGGGACGGGGATGGTATTCGAAAATCAATCCCCGATCAATTTCGGGCCGGGGACGGGGATAAGTGTCCTAGCCCCGTACCCCGCCCGTCCCTGTCCCTGTCCCCGTTCATCCCTGAAGCAAAATTACTATTGTACCCCTTTATATATATATAAACCAAAACACTTCTCTTTCTCTCTCAGTCTGTCTCAGCTCTCTCCCTCACTCACGTCTCTCATCTCTCTTTTCCTCACTGACTCAGATCTCTCTGAGTCTCACCACAACTTCTTTCATCTCTCTCTCCTTCACTTACTCAGATCTCTTTCATCTCTCTCATTTCTTATCAGCATCAACATCATCCAGATCCACCACCACCACCGATTTGAACAGATCGGTGAAGCCACTGATCTGAAGCCGCCACCACCACCACCGATCCCTCCATTGCCACCGATTTGAAGCCACGACCATGACCAGGACCGTGAAGCCACCGATCGATGTCTTGATCAACGGACAGTTTGTGAAGTGCCCTCTCTCTCTCTCTCTCTCTCTCTATACATATATATTTGTTATTGATTGATGTACAATTTTTTTTTTTCCAAGTTGTTATCTATATTATATCTGTTGTTGTTGATGAACAATATTATATCTTTTGTGTGTATGTGTGTTGAACAGATCTGTATACATACAGATTATTTTTTATTTTTTTATTTTTTTTTTGTTCTTATGTTTGTATGTGTGTTGAACAGATTTGGCGGAGATTTTTCGGGGTCGGGGAAACCTGATCCCCGTTAGGGGACGGAGCGAGGGAGGTGAAGGGTTCCCCGTCGGGGATCGGGGCCGGGGCCGGGGTCGGGGATTTTGGAGTTCGGATTCTCGGCCGCCCTACCCGGCAGCCGTTTCCAGCAGCCCCCAAAACGACGTCGTTTTGGGGGCAAATTTTCAAAAAAAAAAAAACGCAGAGGAAGAGAGGGAGGAATGAGAGGAAGAGGGAGGAAGGAGGAGGGAGGAGGAGGAGGAGGAGGAGGAAGGGAAGGGTCGGACTGGAGGGGGCCATAACCAGTGGGGGAGGAGGAGGCGGAGGCGGAGGCGGGGCCGGAGGCGGAGGCGACGGCGGTGCAGCTGCTGCGACGAGCTGGATTGGGCGACGATCGGACGTCTGCAACGGCCGGCGGCGAGGCGACGAGCTGCGATGGCGAGCTCTGATGTCAACTACAAATTGTCTTTGTTAAGTATAAATAAATATTGTGTAAATAGAAAGTACTAGAATAAGGTTGAGTTGTTTTTCTTCTGTTTCTTTGAGATTTGTATGTTTGAGAGGTTCTATCTTATTTGGGAGCGAGTTTCGTCTTTGACAGAAGTGAATTTCTTACTTAATAGGCCGGAATTCAGTTTCTCACCAAAAATGCCAAACAACATGCTCCAATTGTGCAATTGTGTGAATTTATGGATATCAAGGCTATTAAACTTGACAAACCTAAAATATGTGGATCGTGTACATTATATCTATAATATTTCTTACCATTGCTTGCTTTAATTTTACATCAAATTTAAAAGAACCCTCTACATTCCTTGATTGATTTTTTATGTCAATTATAAGTTTATTTTACTGGTCAAATCATCTTAAGCTTCTCCATATTGAAGTTAGGAATGTTACATTTGGTTTAGCTTCCTTTTTCTAATACTACTTGTTTGAATGTACTTCACTTCTCTGAGATAAATTTGTAGAAGATATGAACACTTTTGCATACGCTCAAATGCTTGTAGAGTAGATGCCTCATAGCGTGAAAGTTTTGTGGTGGGCACATTGAAGCAGATTTTTTAAGTTGTGCAGCTCATAGAAAAAATATGACAGTCTTGAGTCTGCAACACCAGAGATGGCAATGCAGGGCTGTGATGTTGTAGTTGTGATTACAGGTTTCAACTTTGAATTACTTCTGACTTCCATATGAAGGATTGTCTTCATATGTAGGTAGTTACTTCGAAAGCCTATCAAAAACCAAATAGAATCCATGAATGGGCAACCCTTACAACCCATGTTCAGAAAGTTAAAAAATTTCAAAAATAAGAAATCTAATTTATGGGCAAAATTATAAAAGTTTCTTATCTCCGTATAGGTAACCCTTATCTGATTATCTATCTATACTATTATATTAAGTGAAGGTTGGATTTGGTGTCCAAGCTTTTGCTTGCTTCTCCTTATGCCATGTGTCTCTCATTTCTCTATTTAAAACAAAAAAGTTACATAGAGATACGCACAAGACTTGAAACTTTGACCTTGACTTTAGGAAAGAAAGTCTTACCACTTAAGCAACACACATTGCAATATTAATTTCTTTGTTATTTATTTTTACTTTTACTTACTTGAAGTGCACAAGCATTGCATATGCTATCTGCTAATTCGATTACATTGTAAAGACCTAATATATATAGGCTTGAAACCCAAATTTAAAGTAGGAAACTAAATCATAACATTATTTGGAAACCTAATCTTTAGTAAAATGAGTAACTAATTAACTATCAATAAAAAATAAATATAAAATTACAAATAAATAAAATCTCCATGTCATGTTCCGCATCATTATGTGCATTCGACTTGAAATTAACCAATTTCCAAATTCTTTTGCTTATTTAATTTTTCCTTTTGTTGATATTATTATCTGTGTCATTCTTCCATTGTTGAGGAAAAAAAAAGAAAAACAAAAACAAAGGTAGCATTTGGTTTAGTTTTAGAATCATGATTTGAGAATGGAGTTGTATTTTGAGTTTGTGAGTTGTTGAATCATGATTTGAAAATCGAAAATTTATTTGGTTATGAGTTTTGAAAAGAGTTTTGAATTGAGTTTTGAATTTTTGAAATGAGTTTTGAAATAAGAAAAGTTGTTTGGTTATGAATTTTGAAAAGAGTTTTTAAAACTTAATTAAAAAACTTATAACTCATAACCAAACACACAACTCGAAATTCTATTGAAATTTCTATTCAAAGCTCATAACCAAACTCTTTTTAAAATTCAACTCAAAAAAATAATTATTGAAAAAAATAATTTTTTTATTTTAAAAATTCAAAAAATTCCGAAAATATTTTTTATTTATAATATTAAAAAATATATATTTAGCTAGTGCTTTAAAATTACTTTTGATTGTATATTTGATTGAAATTTTTTTAATTGTTTTGTTTAAAAATGTTTTTTTATTTTTTAAAAATTACTGTGACAAATTAATTTTTATTTAATTTTTTTTGTTAATTTTAAATAAATGGCCAAATAATTTGTTATTTTGCTAAAAAAAATAATTTCTATATTTAAAAAATATCAAAAACAAATATAATTTTTTATTTTTTTTATTTTTTCAAATAACAGGAGGCAATTGCAAAAAAAGAAAAAAAAGCACTGTTCCGGTCAACCGGCCGGACGTTCGAAAGGATGCCCAGGCAAACGACCAAGTAGACTCAAAAATTCAAAAACTCTCTGGTTACCAAACATGTTTTCAAATGTGTTTCAAAATGTGATTTGGAATCATATTTTGAAAACTATAATCAAACAGAGGGTTGGAATATGAGGGCGGAATCATGATTCCAGAATGGAACCAAACAGAGCCAAAAACTCAAACCATGACTTTTGAAGCACTAGAGTAAATGAATCCACAACTTTTGTAATTGCATTCATGGTAGGGTATTAAAATTATGAAGTTGAGACTACAATTTTATTAATTATTTATTTATTTTAAGTTTGGGATTGCAAGGAAGACAATGGTTGATTTTTCTTTACAATTGTATTACTGAATTTGTGGCATGACAAAATCAATCGTCAGTTTAGTTGTAGATAAACACCCTTGGATTGATTAGTAAGTTGAAGGGCATTAAGATGCTCATTCACTTTGGTTTCCTTTGTCTTCATGATTCCTCCTTCAAATTCAATATTTGATTCCACCACACCTTAATCTGTTTTTCAAACAGAAGGTCTTCTCGTTACAATGCCTTTTCTTGGGTGAGTATGGGAGCAAGTTCATACTTGGATTCTCACAGGCATTGCACCTAGGATTAGAATTGCCAGGTTTGCATCACACACATTTACCAAGAGAGCTAAATTCTCTTAAACTTGTTCTTTATTAAATTAAATTTTAATTACTGTCCATAGACTTTAGAGAACTCTTCCTAGTGGGATTTATCTACCTATTTGGAAACTAAGACTTTTGGCTTGTAAAACCTATTAAAAGCAAAAGAGACCCATGAATAAAATCGATTTACATAACTTGACCAATTGGGCGACCCCTGCAACCTGTCTAAAAATTTCGAAAGGTTACCAAATACTCCCAACTACAAACATAAAATATAAGGGTGTAATCGGTTTGGGGTGGTTGGTTTTTAGCCAAAATGATCACCGAACTAATTGTGTTGGTTGTGTTTACTAAGGAACCAAAGCTAACTGAAGAGGTGATAAACTGAACCTGTCATTTTGTATTCAGTTGGTCGTTTCGGTTTTGTAGTTTGTTGGTTTTTTTGATTAGCAAAAGAACTTACAAATAAAAAATTGGCCTACTCAACATTGATAAAAAACCTCCAAGTTAAACATTATTTAATTCAATAAAATAGTAGTTTCTACATGCATTAAAACCACATTAGCTAAAAAAAAAGAGGTTAAACATAATTTGTTAGATCAATACAAAAAATTGCAAATCATTAAAAATCACATGGAGCTTCAAATTGCAAGAAATCTCTTTTCCCCTTCATCAGCTAGTGAAGTATAGTCTCAAGTTTTTCAAAATGGGGGGCTCTGTTTGGAAGAGTTTTGAAAATGTATTTCTACCTCTTAATTTGTGCGTGATGTTTGGTTGCCGTTTTCAAAAATTAATTCTACATCCACTTTTGAAAACTCTATCAAAGGGGGGAAAATTTGGGCTAACTGATCGTCCTTCCGGATGTCCGGCCGGTTGACCGGTACAGTGATTTTTTTTTTTTTATATACAATTGGCACATGTTATTTTTTATATATAAATAAAAAAAAAATCATAATTTTTAAAATTTTTTTATGAGTTTTGAATAGAATTTTAAGTTGTGTGCTTGGTTATGAGCTGTAAGTTTTTGTATCAAATATCATATGTCACATCAAAAATTTCCCACTCAATCCAAAACTCATTCTCCAAACAAATTTTCCACACTCAAATCATAATTTCAAAACTCACAAACTCAATATACAACTCTTATTCTCAAATCATATTTAGAAAACTCTACCTAACGCTACCCAAAATTGGAGACTAGGGATTTTAAAAAATTAGGGCTTACAATTAAGGACTCAAAAATTAATAGATATAAGTAAAACAAGGGTTTTGAAATTACCTTAGGATGACAGAAATAATCATTCACTGGTGAGGGAGAGATGTCAATTGAGTCGGAGACATCGAGTAATTGATGTGAAATCTGAGATATCAATGAAGAAGATCAGTCGCTGGTGAAGGAGAGACCTTGAGTAGTCAAGGTGAGATTTGAGATGTAGATGCAGATGCAGATGTGAGATGTCTACAAAGAAAATAAGTCACTGGTGGGCAAGAGATGTTGAGCAGCCGTGGTGAGATTTGAGATAGAGATGGATTTGTGAGATGTTAATGGAGAAGAGGGAAAGTGACATTGAGAGAGAGGTTGGCTGGATACACTGCAAGACAGACAACCAGATGAGGCATCATCTTTCAACCGTAGTCTCTAAGAGTGAGACAGGGAAATAAGGACTGAGTTGAGGCTAAGTAGTGAAAGGGATGATTGGGTTAATGGTGCAAGGGTGGATGGTTGGGAATAACATAGACTGTGGGTTTTGGTCAGTTTTTGTTTTAAAAAAGCAAAAATGAACTGACTGGTCTGAGAATAGAACTTACCAAAACTAGATTTTTCGGTTGTCGTTTTATTTATTTATTTTTTATTTTTTGGGATAAAACTTCCAGTACTTATAAATTATCATATAGGAAACTAACTTTATTAAAATAATTATAAAATGAGACTTTACCAGGCCGGAAAAAACTGATTTTTACTTGGCTTGAATTGATCCCTAGTGAGTTAGAATTGAAACCAACCATTTTCCAATTTTTGCAGATTTTGACTTTTATTTTAACATGACATATGCATATAGTTCTAGCCTTTTATTGTAAATGCTGGTACTGTTTTATAGTGTTGTGTCCCCTCACTCATTTCTTTTTGTCTGCTTAATTAGTTACCTTTTAAATTAAAAGTGTGTTGAACCTTACTGATGGGATTCACCTAAAGTTTTTATTTTTATTTTTTAAATTTTTTTTTTTAAATTACATTTCTCAATAGTTCGTTCTTGAAATGATTATAATCTTGGACACTTTTAAGTTGTGCTTGTGTTGTAATGGTACACTTGGGTCTTCTAGCTGTTAACTACTTCATTTTTTATTTTTTTATTCCACTTTTAACCCTTAATTTCATTTTGTGTTTTTTGTATGTGGCCTTAATGAATTGCAAAGTTTGTTCTTCGTGCCCTTTATATTTAATTTTGGCCTCACCTTTATTCTATGCAAGCGTATTACACAATTGAAAAAAGGTTATGCCTAATTGTTGCTACAGAAGACCTAACACTCGGCATAATTTTCTCAAAGTTGCTTGCTCAAAACAGTCAGACTTGACCTACAATCTCACGTTTGGCAGTCACAGCTTTAACCACTTCATCAAGCAATGGCCCCTAGCATATAGACGGTTACTAGATGGAGTTTAACCTCAGTTTTGGGAAGGAATATTTTTTAAAACTAGATGTGTAATCTTTGATATCATGTGGCTCTGACAGATGTGGATTAAGTGAATCCTTTGTATTATTATTATTTTATTATTCATATTTTTCATGTATATAGTATATATTGAATATTCCATACCTTGTATATTTTTAAAGATTGAAATTTTAAATCAGACCAAAATCTGACATTAAGCTGAAGTTGGGAGGAATTAAAAAACTGAAACATTAAATTATGTTCAAAGGTGGAAGAGAATGACTCTTGATTATATAAAGAGAAATCCAATCTGTATCTGTGACATGGATTATTGATATCAGGAGACAGTTAGATCCCACTGATTTGATTTTCGAATTTTGCTGGTTGTTCGTGTGCTATTCCATTGTAATAATCATGATGTTGGCCAAATACAGACAATGGTCCTCTATTTGATTGGTTACTGGTTTGGTTTCTCACATAATATACTGGTACCTTTTATAATCATTGTCAATCCTTCTGCAATTTTTTATATCTGTTTGACTTGCGCATCATTTTACCTGTTTGTTTAGTCCTAATCAATAATACGAGTTTCTTAAGAGAAATATGGTTTTTTGGATTTTTTTTTTTTTTTTTTTGTTATATGGCTAATTCTTTCTTTCTTTTTTATTTTTATTTTTATTTTTTATTTTTATCCCTTGGCCTTATGTGTAGATATGAATTTTTTATTGATCAGTTTTGCAGGAAAGGAAACCTTACGATGTCTTGCTCTAGCCTTGAAAAGGATGCCCATGGGTCATCAAATTGTGTCCTTCGACGATGAAAAGGATCTTACATTTGTTGGGTTAGTATGTTTTTTTTGGGTATAGTTTGTTGATTGGTATTGTTGGTGAGTCTTAGGCATCAAGATTCTTGCAACAAGTTTTGTGTGATTTTCCCATCATCATTCGAGTAGGTTGTTACTACTTTCTACTAAAAGTGGTCATTTCTTCAATCAGACGAAAAGAACAAAAGAAGCAAAAATGAGTGATTTGCATGAATGCTTCATTAATTTAGGGGAAACTATCAATCAGTGGGAAGTGGGGCAAATATTTACGAAAGGTTGGGTGTTTTTATGGGGTGCAAATTTTATTGTGTTTGTTTTCACAAGAAATAGTTGTACCCCCATGTATTTGTAAATTTTTTTTGTCAACCCTGATTGGTAATTGCCCCGTTCATTTATTATTGAGACCCCATGAATGTGGCTACCCTTCACTATGAAGCATTGTACTTGTTTGCAAGTTGGCAAGCTTGGTAAACTGTTTTCATTGTACTTGTTAGCGAATTCATCAAATTTAGGTATCCGTGGAAATGTTCTAGATCTTTCCGCTATGGAGAAAAAAACGAGTGGTATATGTATATATGAGATTATGTCATAAATTTCTTAGTAAAAGTAGCATCAAGTGTGATATAAATTTGAGTAAGCTTACAAGTTACAATAACTATGTATCAGAAGCTCCTGCCACTTAGATGAGATCCAATTGAATATTTTTGAAAACCTAGCGTAATATCCATTAACTTCTATACTAAAAAAGTGCAGACACGAACACGTGATACGGTATGGACATGCCAACATAACAATTTTTAAAAAAATATAAGACACGATACTTGAGAAACACACAAATTTATGGTTTTCTATATTTATTTTATGTCATTTATAAATATTTCACTCAAATTTAATAAAACCTTGAATTCTAAAGTTTAAAGGAGAATGGATTAATAGGCATAAATTTATGTTGTTTTTCTTTTTCTTTTAAATTGAAAGTTATTTTGTTGAAACTTATAATGTGTTTCATATGTGCCTAAGCAATGAATGCGAGTCCCTCAAATGACTTTAGTCTAAAAAAATTATAAAAAATAGCAGCACATGTTTGGACTTGTGTCTTTCACGTGTTAGGAAGTGTCCGGTCAGTGTTAGTATCTAACATGCCACCTTCTTAGAAGTGTCCATGCTTCTTAGCTTATATTTTTATTTATGTATGCAGAAACACACACATGGTAAATCATTTACTTGTATGTGGTGGTTGGTGGAAATTTCTTATTAATTCTCGCAACTACTTACCACAAGTCCATTAGTGGTTCTAAAAAGCATTCAGTTTGTAACGTAACGGTTGGTTTAAGGATGGCAGATTTGGATATTGACTGATTTTCCGGTGTGAACTGAAATCGCTCCTGAACCGGCTGGTTTCTGTTACAAACCAGTCCGTAATGGTTTTTCACCATATCTGAAATAAATTTTTTTTTTGAACCTTACTTTATTATGTATTTAAAACAATCATTTTAGTCATCCATTCAGCCATGTGGTGTGGAGAGTCGGACTAACCAATGATTGAGTACTTTCTGTTCATGGGTATAATTTATAAGGCTTATTTAAAGCTAGTGGGATGGCTGTTGCTTGAGTAACTAGCCGATGTGGGACTCTTGAGTGTACATTGGTAGATGTCACTTGATGTGGGATTGAAAGACAGGTTCTTACTCTCACAGGTTTTCATACTGTAGAGCTTCAATCGATGAAAAGGGGCCATTTTTTTTTTTATTAACATTAATTTTATTGGGTCATACAGTATGAAAAATATATTTTTAAATGTCCCAATATTTATTAAAAATATGACCAGTTAAGATTAAAGTCATCTGAAGATGTGTATTATTGAGTTTTAGGTGAGTTGCTGATCCCGGTATGTATAGCTGATACTCTCGATATCGTTATACCACGATCGTTACCGTTATGTGTCTCAATACTGCAATTTAGAACCATGCGTCCAGCATGCTATGGTTGGTAAGAGAAGAGAAGAAAAGGAAAGATTGAAAATCCCTTTGCAGTATGATAACATTAGGAAACTTGGCGTAACGCTGATTATAAGTGGAATTGCAGTGGGTTTTGGTTATGGAAATTTGTGAGGGTTAGGTTGTAGAAGATAAAAGAATGCTTTTGGGGTTTGTAGATAAAAAATGTTGAATTTTTGTTTGATTTCTAAATTGTATGGTTGCAGGATTAACAGAATTGACTGCTGAAAGTTCCAGGGAAGCTGTTATTTTATGAGATTTAATTGTTTATTTGAAGACTAATAAGTGGGGTAATGGTTTTGGTGTGATTGCTGCATGATTGGGGAATGTTTTGGGTCTGTTCTGGTTAGTGATGCACTTGGGTGGGGTTAGTTTGGCTTTATACTTAACCTAGAACCGAACTGACCATCTATGGTTCTCCAACATTGGAATCGAGAACTGGACCGTCTTTTGTAAACCAAACCAAATGATTTCAAATGTCTTTTTGAACCGCAGGCCTAATGATTTTAAATGTCTTTTGGAAAGAAACTTGCCTATAGCTTTGCACTAACTCTTGCAAAATGGGCCAATCTACAAGCATAACCAATCAATTAGCCCAAGGGAGAGAATATCTTTTTATGACTTGTGGAAGTGAAGCCATTTTTCTTCTAAATCAATGTCAGACTATCAAAGTTTTAAAGTCATTATTGAGGCTCTCTACAAGGTGAGGCTAAGGGAAAATGCATTAAGGCCTTGATTTTTAGGCAACACTTTCCAAAATCGCGCATCAACTGTCTAAGGCATGCGCATCAACTGTCTAAGGCATATGCGCCTTAGGTGTGCCTTGTATGCATCTTGCACAAAAAAAACATATGAGAAGTGCACATATGGAGAGTTTGTCTTGGGCTGTTGTTAAACTTAGTCTCCTACATGGTTTAAACATAAAAGAAAAACCTCTTTTGTAACTATATTTCACGGGAAAAATCAAGTAAATGATCAACCAAAGAAAACACAATCCTAAAGCTTAAGTAAGAAGCTTAATAATTAAAGTTTAGAATGTCGATTTCAACTTCGATAACCGAGTAGGACAGCTTGTACACACCTCGACTAGGACAGCTTGTACAAACCTCCTTTTTTTTTTTTTTTCCTTCCTTCTTTCTTTTGATAACCGAGTAGGACAGCTTGTACGCACCTCGACGATAGTGAAATGTTCAGTGCATTGAGGAGAAAAGTATTTACACCTTTATATTTAAGTTTTAATACTTTTTAACTACTTTAAAATACTTTATTTATGTCCTAAATATAAAAATTTGAAATTTGAAATGCTAACACCTCATTATCTTGAGGCTTACACCTCACCTCATGAGGGCTAATTTGCCTTGCATTACGCATTTGCCCTTAAAAACTTTGGGAACAACTAATATAATGAACAACCTTGTTCATATCATATTATGAATGCTGCAAATATGAACCACTCTAAAGCTCTATTAATTTGGCATGGTGGCACTAAGAAATATTTTGTTTAAATGTGACCTAACAGCTTTTGTCATGATGATGTGTTTTTGTAGAGCTGCTCCAAACATAAACAACATGCAATTAGATTTGCTTTGGTCATGGTGAAATTGTGTCATTTTTAGAGTTTAAGTTGTTAATCTGTCAAGTTTAAATTAGTTGTTTCCAGAGAGTGAACGAGAGCTGGAGAGATAGAGGAAAGAGCTTGATTGATGAAGATGGAAGGAGGGCGGAAGAGGAAGATGATGAGGGTTGTACCAGGTCCCCAACACAGGAAATGATGGCTCATGATGGTAGACTGCTGTTGGAGTTGGAGAAGATGTTGGGTGACGGTGGCTACTGCATGTAAGTTTCAGAGGCAGGTGTGATGACCACCGATGGTGAAGTTGGTGGTGGCCACTAGTGACTTTGTTAGGTGGTGGTTTGAGTGAGAGAGAGAGAGAGATCAATGCCAAAATCTTCCTTGGTAGTTTCAGTATTTTTGTTACCTTTCAAAAGGGCATCAAACTTGGAAGAAAGGCTTTTGCTATTAAACATGTTAGTAGATTAAACAAAGAAAACTTATGGCTTTAAGGAAAGGAAGGATCATTTCTGATACAAAGCTGATGGTCATACTATTCTAATGAAGAACTACTTCAGAAAACTTAGCCTAAGGATACCTACACGTGGAATTGTGGTGGGTCATGGTCATGGAAAGTAGTTAGGGTAAGGGATTTAGGATCCTAAAAGGTCGATGGCAGCTTTTAGGATTTGTACATGAAAATGTGAGTTTTATTCTTGTGGCTGCAAGATTTCAGAATTGGCTATTGAAGGTTCTAGGAAAGTAGCTATGTATGAGATGTAATTGTTAATTTGTAGGCCAACGGGTATAATTAGGGATTAGGCTTGGTTAATGCTTGATTGGGGAAGGATTTTGGGTTGGGAACTGGGATTGTGAGTAGTAACTTTGGAACAGTGTTTTGCTTCCTTTGTATAGAGAAAGAGAAAGATTGGGGAAGGGTTTGGAACATGGACGAATTAACCGTAACATGATTGTATAATGTCTAGGGTGCACTCCATATGAAATCGCTGATTTGCCACTTTTCTTCTTGGCATGCTTTGTATCACCCACCCTTTCATTTGTTTAGTTGGGTTGTATCTAGAGAAAGGAAAAGAAAGAGGGAAGGAGAATTTATTAGAAGTTTCAAATGGTTTTCTCTCAAATGAAAAGATATTTGTAGGGAGATAAATAAACAATGTAAAAGCACGTAAAACAAGTTTTAAATGCTTTACATTCTCTTTGAGACAGTCATTATTGAACTATGATTGGTTGATCAAATTTTGTTCTATTAATTTTAGTTTCTCCCTGTTGAGCGTAAAAATAATCGATCTTTTGGATTTGGATATTGTCTTCATGTTGCCATTTATCTTCTTGTTCTCTTACTCTTTTTTATGTTCAATAAAATTAAAGGTCGGAATGCTTGACCCACCAAGAGAAGAAGTAAGAAATGCTATACTTTCATGCATGACAGCTGGCATAACAAGGTAACTTAAATTATCAATATTAACTTTTTTGTAATATCATGTAATCTTTTTTAATATTTTAAATATTCAAGGGTACTTTTCTAACTTGAGAGGCAACTTTAGAGTACTGCAGAATCACTGTGTCAAAAGATAGGTGCTTTCGATAACATGGGAGATTTTGGTGGACACTCCTTACACTGCTTCTGAGTTTGAAGAGCTTCCAGCACTACAAAAAGCAATGGCATTACAACGCATGACACTGTTCACCCGGTATACTTGACACTTGATAATTCTTTAGTCATTTTACTTTTTTCTTGAGAATTTTAATTTTTTGAATTATATCTTGTAATTCGGGCATAATTTTGCTGCTTGTTAGGGTTGAGCCATCTCATAAAAGGATGCTGGTTGAAGCATTACAACACCAAAATGAAGTGGTAGGTCTCCTGAGTCTCAGTTATCAGAATGATTGTATGATCCTGACGTCCAGTAGGTCTGAGTGGGAGACAAAATGTACATCAGCTGAAGGGTCATTCCCCTAGCACAAACAAATTGTTGCAAGCACAGCAAGACTGTTCGCACAACATCTAAAGACTATAAGCCTAAAAACAGAACTTTTTTTAATCCTAAACTTTGTACTGAATTGATATAAATATAAATATCTTTTGTTTTGTGTTCTAAAAAAAAAAAAAAAAAACTGACATCATGGTACACTAACGACTTTTATCAAAGTGTATCAGTACAGCAATATCCCACTGTTAACACGTCTGCCAATTTGCAAAGTTATTCTTAACCGTTCTCGAAGTATTGATTCTAAACCTCACATCTTCCCCAATAGCTTTCATAATCAAAGGGCCATTTCTTTTTTGGGTGAAGATTCTTCTATTTCTTTCCTTTCATGGTAGACTGCAACAGCCATTAAAAGCTTGAAAACAGCAGTTAGGAAATTATCCTTCTTACAATACTGGACTGTCCAAAGAACCTCCTCCCCCCAGCTTTGAGGGTATCTACTGATCTCATTTTTCTGAAGCACATTATCCAAATGAGGGAAGTAAATGGGCATTCCAAAAATAAATGCTCTGAGATTCTTCTGGAATGTTACAGACCACATTTAGGTTCAACTGCCATCCCCCATTCCTTTAGCCTATCTTTAGTGGCCAATCTTTCTTGGCATAGGAGCCATAAAATAAAAGCACATCTTGGAATGTTCTGAGAAAGCCAAATGGTGTTATGTCATCTCAATCTCACTCTCACTCTCACTCTCACCACTTCAATATTTGCTCTCATGGCTATATTTATTGAAACTAGTGAATTGACCTACTGTGGTTACTCTCTCTCCCCGTAAGTTAGCTTTCATCTAGTCACAGTGTGGCTGATCATCCTTCTACTTGGTATAGTATTTAGGATCTCATGAAGATTACATCAAGGTACATATGATACTGTTATGCTGATATATTGTAGCAGATCTATTGTAAAGCAGTTTTTTAGTGGTGATCTATGCATGTGCATGGGTCAGTCCCAGCTCAAAGGACGGATGGGGATACTGTGGCACAATGAAGACATATCGTACATGTAGTAGTAGCTGAACCTAACGTTGGTTTTGCATACATATATATGTCATTCGTGAGTTAGTTTTTTGGGGGTGAGAAGTGTTATGAGTTTAGTTTTGTCAGGCATGCATTGTTAGACTAAACTCTAAGATTGAGTCCACTTACTAAACCCTTTCTGCATCTGCTAACCCAATGGTTATAAGTCTCTCCATCTAGTTTCATTCTGCTTGGAGTGGATGGGTGGGGGTAGGTAATCATAGTTTTGTTTCTTTGTTTCTTTGTTTTTGTTGTTGTGACCATAGCCAGAACTGTCCCTATTCCACTGCGTTTGGATTTCTTATCTTTGTAATTTTTCAGAAAGTAGAACAAATCATAACTGCGCGCATGTGTATTCTGTTTAAATCAAGAGTTGAATTGAGCTCAGCATGCCTTGTTTTGGCTCAGGTCCCTTTTAATTGGATGAATTGGGTGTTGTTTACTGGGCCCTTGTCTATGCTCATCAGTTAGTCAACTTTGACAGCCCTGCTTGAATATGATTGTGTTCATAGGTACCTTGTTTTGGCTTGCTTATCTGATTTAAGATGGTTCATAGTCATCCTTGTGGAACTGTTTTTTAGTATCAACTCGCTTGCTCCAATTTTCCATAGCTATTGCTTGCCCTTATAAACGGCAATACTCACTGGCGACAGAACTCTTCTTACACTATTTGTTTAGATATTGACCAACTGTTTGTGCAAAGCATTTAGGTTTCCAGTTTCTTTTTCAAATGTGTTTTTCCTGCTCTAGAAATTAATTGTAAACTATATGATTGTAAGGTTGCAATGACTGGCGATGGAGTAAATGATGCACCTGCACTAAAGAAAGCTGACATAGGAATTGCCATGGGATCAGGCATAGCAGTTGCCAAGGTATTGCCTGGTGGCTCTCCCTTTTCGAGCATTTTATTTAATATTTCTTTGTTTGTTCAAAAAATAAAATATGGGTCTCAAAAAAACTTCTGCAAATTTATTTAATATTTCTAGGCTATCAAGTATGGCAGGTGTTAGTAACATGGCCTCTTTTTTTTCTCGCTTTTTTTCTTTTGTTCCCTGACATAGTTCCCATGATAGTAGCACCAACTCTATGGCTCTCAAGAAAAACTTCGGCAAATTTATGCCAAAGTTTAGTACTTAATGATTATATTGTTTGGAATCGTGATTATTTGAGCAACTCAATGTAAGCAAGATGAACACATTTGTCTCACATTTGATAAAGCTTCAGTAGGTATTCGTTTGTATTTATTTGTGGCTTTTGTTTCTCAAAAACAAAAAAAATTAACGTAAGATATTTTGTGTCATTTCTACTCTTACCAATTTTTCTGTAACACCCCTAAATAATTAACATTTGACAAACCCAGATTACTCATCAATGTGTTCTAAATTTCCATTGATTTCCGTCGTTCGCATATGAACAAGAACAATAGCATCTTGGCCAACATAATGACTAAATCTCCACATTTGTATTTCATAATATACCCATGAGATTTAGAAAATGCTCCACATGCAATTATACATTCAACACTTTCTAGAATGTGAATCTATGGCATGTGATGAGAATAATTAAGTAAACTAGGTACAAAATAATGTGCCATGGGCTACAAGTTCCAAGGCTTATGCCAGGTTACATGGAATGGTTATCAAATCCATACAAATATAGCCCTTGGCTTGTCAAAAACAGAATACAAGTAACTGAGTCCTGCGCTCCAAAAGTCCCCTGTGCCCCTACTTCGGCGGGGTCACAGCATCTTTACCTGTCAGCGGTTCCACTAGGGGTGAGCATGAAGCCTAGTAGGGAAATCTTGTCAAAGTATATACATTTTAAGCAATCATCATGAGATGGATGCAAATGCCATGTCATACTCAAAAATGTAAATTTTTCTCATTTTAAAATCTCATGCAAGATGCTTATTCGAAAACATAATCAATTCAATGATTTCATTATATAATCAAGGGGTGGTAAATACAATTTAAATAATTTCTAAGCTGGTGTCTGTAAGTAGGCTCTCAAAAGCACCACCAAAACTACTTTACTGGTTCTTAACCGGAAGGAACTTGGTACCTACTCTGCATGAGTTTTTGGACTTTCACCATAGAACTCAAGCCAACTTAGTTCTCAACTCTACACCCCCCAACCGCACTTACCAAACGTATTTATCCTAACACAACTCAAAACGAAAGTTTGTTTCACAAATACTTCTTTTCCAAAGTGTAACCTCGACAATGCCAATTTGAAAAGCAATGAGAATGAGATGAGATGACAAAACAATTTATCAACATTTTGCAAAGTTCAATTTTCCTCAATAATTTCCAATCTCAACGACACAGTTCTCAATTGTGATCAAATACCACATCTCTACTCATTATATGTATACACAATATGTTCCAAGAGATAATAGCAACACATCATCATATGTATTTTCTTTCTCATATAATCGAAAAAATTTCAATAGGATAATCATCCTTTCAATTCTTTATCTTCTCAAAACAAGCATAACAACATACTATTCTCATAATTTCTCAACATCAGTCTCTCTTTTCCATGGGTTTTCAACAATGAGAATGAACGTGCCAATTTCTTCATCATTTCTCAACAATGAATCTCAACAATGTATAATTCCACACAATCTCAACTTTTTCCCAAATTTCCAAAACCTAGGGTTTTCACAAAAATTAGGGTTTCTCATTTTGGAAAGATTTTTACAAAAATAGAGCTCCCAACTATCACATACGTATTTTCTTATGGATTGAAGAAAACATTTGAGAAAAACCCTTTTTGAAAATAAAAAATCTTCCAAACGCAACCCTAACTCAAACTATACAATTATTTCATCAAAATGGCAATAGATTTGTTAAAACATATATATAACTCAAAAAAACTCCCTACCTCAAGCTCTAGGAGAAAGATGAGAGAAAAGCCCTAAAATTGGCTGTGTCGAAATTTGATCTCTACCGCACAAAGTGAAGCTCTTGAAATGCTCTCCAAATTGGCCTCAAGCACTAGGGTCTAAAAAGCTATAGATTTTCCAAGAACAAGGAAAAGAGTGAAGATTTTTGGGTGAGGGTTAGAGATAGGGGTCAAAAAGGTGAGATTCTCGAAATTCAGAGTTCGGACCCAATCATTTCCGCATGTGCGAGATCTCTTCACCGCACGTGGGGAGCTCTTCTCCGCACGTGCTCCATAATAGCAACACGACGATGCCCAATCTGATCTTTTGCCTCCTCTATAAGCTCAAAAGAATGACCTCCTAGGAAAAGAATGACCTCCTAGAGGAGGCAAAAGATCAGATTGGGCATCGTCGTGTTGCTATTATGGAGCGAGGGCAGGGCCTTCACAGAGCGGTTTGTGGTTATGAAGTTGGTTGGCTCTGTGTGATGCTTCATAAGGTATCACGAGAACCAGGTCGTTTGGCCTATTTGGCACGCATCATCGGTGGATGTCACAGTGTGGCAGCATAGGTTTGAGGGAAGGAGGATGGGAGCTCTTCGTTCTAGATTGTGGTTATGACTGGTAGCAAAAGAGAACAAATCTTTGTACCAGAATTTGGTTTTGAGGATAGATGAGAGGGGTTTGCTTTGGTCATGTAGGGTTTTGCCTTTTGGGATGGATAGTTGAAATAGAAGAAGAGACTGGGCAGTATGGGCGGTTTGAAAGAGGTGTTGCTGGTCGGAATAGCACCTCCTCAGCATGGGGACAAAGGAGATGTAGTGGTAAAGGGGGGAGCAGAAGAGGGGTGGTTTCAAAGGTTAATGGCTCATCGGAGAGGTATCTAAGTCCCATTACTATGTCTTTTTGCCATGGTCCGGATTTGGAGCTGGAAAAAGACTTATTGCCACTTTTTCAAAATCAAAACCTGGTTCTAATGACTAGCCAGTGAGATGAGGAAGGGGATTTGTGGGGCTGATGTGAGGCCTGGGCCAGATTTGAACAGTGGTAAAGGAGGTCAATGGGCTGATATGTGTGAGGACTTGCCTTTAGTTTTGTGCCCATTAGCTGTGGATTCAGGGGAGCTTCATGAGGATGTGTACGATGGGACTGTCATATAGCCGGTGGCAATTGGTTTTGAGGGAGATGAACCTCCTTCTTTGGGTGAGGTGTCTAAATGGGTTTTACGTCAGATCAACGAGGTCAGCCGAATGCTTGGTGTATCGTTTGAAGGGTATGGGGAAGAAGGCATGAAGTTGTTTTCTGCAATTGAAGCTTCTTGGAGAGGGAGTGGTTCTTTGGGTAAGGAGGTTCAGGTTGTGGGTCAGAAGGGGAAAGGGGTTAGGAACTGAGAAATCTAGAGTGCATAGTTAATTATGCCAAACGCCTAAAAGGATGAGGTTGGGCTATGAGGAAAGGTCGTGGTGATCAATTACTGTTGCCATGCAGTTAAAAATTTTATCCTAGAACATGTGTTGTTTGAATGACAGAAGGGAAGAGGGTTTTGATTCGTTCTCTTCTAAGGTGTGTGATGGTGGATGTATTATTGTGTTTTCAGGAGACAAAAATGGAATGTATTGATGAGTAGGTGATCCAAGAGATATGAGGGGGGTTGTTTTGTGGAGTGGACATATTTGTCGTCTATTGGGGTGGCCGGGGGGTTCTAATGGGCTGGGATCGGAGGGTGGTGGTGGTGGTGGTGGAGGAGATGGGTGGTTTTTCATTGTCATGCCTATTTCATTGTGTAGAGGTTGATTTTCGGTAGGTGTTCACAGAAGTGTATGGACCAATCAGGCAATCAAAGCGGGATCTTTTTTGGGAGGACTTGTATAACATTGCTTATCAATGGGCGGCTCCGTGGTGTGCAGGTGGTGAGTTTAATGTGGTGCGGCGACTGGAGGAGAATTTGGGGTTGACTCATTCAGTGGGTTCGACGTGGGCTTTCTCATCTTTTATCGATGAGCTGGAGATGATAGATTTATCAATGCAGGGAGGGAGTTACACATGGTTTAGGGGTTGAGTGTTATCTTGTCTCCACCGATTTTTGATCACTAGGGATTGGGAGGAACATTTTTTTCAGGTGGTTCGATCGAGACTATCGCGTCTTGTTTCTGATCACTGGCCTGTTCTGTTGTATATGGGGGGGGCTTTAGAGTGGCCCAGTGCCTTTTTGGTTTGAGAATGTGGCTGCAGTCAAAAGGTTTTGTGGGCATAGTTTGGACCTGGTGGGAGGGTTATATTGTGTCGGGAGATCCTAGTGGGCGATTGGCCCAAAAATTAGAGCTTCTTAAGGCAGATCTGAGGAGATGGAATGAGGTATTTGGTCGTGTGGAGATTTAGAAGGCAAATCTTTTAGCCGTGTTACAGGGCCTAGATTGAAAGGAAGTTGGGGGCTTGTTGAAGGAGGACTTAGTTGCTCAGGAAAAGACTAGGAAGGAGTATGGTCATGTAGCTCGCATGGAGGAGATTAGTTATCGTCAACGATCTAGATGCTTGTGGCTGAAGGATGGGGATTGGACCATAGAGTTCTTTCACCGCATGGCAAATGCTTATCGTCAGGCTAATCAGATAAGGAAGCTGTGAATCAATGCCGTGGTTTTATTTTAGGTGGAGGAGGTGAAAGGAGGTATAGTGAGTTTTTATTAGCATTTATTTCGAGGAGATAGAGGTGATTGCAAACCTGGCTTGGATTGGGTTCAGTTTGATGCCATTTCGGAGGCGAATGTGTAGATGCTAGAGAGACCGTTTTCAAAAGAGGAGGTGGTAGAGGTATTGCAGGGTATGCCTGGGGACAAGGCACTAGGGCCTGATGGTTTCACTTTACGTTTCTTTCAGTAGTGTTAGGGAGTGATGAAGGCAGCGGTGATGGCTATGTTTAAGCAGTTCCATCAAAGGGGGCAGTTTGAGAGGAGTCTTAATGCGACTGTTATTGCTCTGATTCCAAAGAAAGGAGGGGTAGAGGATATTTGGGATTTTCGACCTATTAGTTTGTTGAGGAGTGTGTACAAGCTCTTGGCAAAATTTCTGGCTAATAGGTTGTGGGGCATTTTGGAGGAAGTGGTGTCAGAGTCTCAAAATGCTTTTGTGGGTGGGCGGCAGGTATTAGATGTTGATGTGGTCGCTAACGAGTGTGTTGACTCGCGTACTTGGCAGGGGTAGGGAGGTATTATTTGTAAATTAGATATTGAAAAGGCGTATGATAAAGTTGGAAGTTTCTGTTGTATGTGCTGGAAATGACGCGTTTTGGGGAGTTGTGGAGGAAGTGGATTTAGTTTTGCATTTCTACAGTTTAGATGTCGGTTATGGTAAATGGGACACCATGTTTGAATGTGTTCCACATCGCCTGGAGTTGTTCCATCTGTGCTAGTTATAAAATTCCAGTTTTGCCCATTTCTTATTTGGGCTTACCTCTGGGTGCTTCTTTTAAGGAGAAGAGGGTGTGGGATGGAGTGGTGGATTGGGTGTAGAGGCATTTGGTAGTTGGAAGCGACAATATTTATCGAAAGGAAGGAGAATCACATTGATCAAGAGTGTTCTATCTAGTATTTTGATTTATTTCATGTCGATCCATGTGATTCTTGTATCAGTTGCGAAGAAGTTGGAGAAATTGCAGTGGGATTTCTTGTGGAGAGGAGGTGAAAAGGCTTTTCATCATCACTTAGTAGCTTGGGATCGGATTTGTGTTCCCAAGGCTATGGGGGTGTCGGGGATTCAGAGCTTAGTCTCATTTAATCTAGCTCTTCCGGGGAAGTGGTGGTGGTTTGTGGTGGAACAGGAGCGGTTGTGGAGGAAAGTGGTGGGGCCAAAGTATAGGTTGGGATGGGGGAGTGATATACAGGTGAGGTGCGACAGTCACATGGACGGAGTTTGTGGAAGGGTTTCGGTCGGGGGGAGTTTTGGAAGAGGGTTTGTTTTTGGATTGGGGTGGGGGTTGGGGTCAGGTTTTGGAAGGATGAGTGGTGTGGAGTAGAAACTCTAGCTACGAGGTTTCCTTCGATTTTTCCAATTGCCCTTGATGAGGAGGCGACAGTGGTGTCTTATGCACATGTGCAATAGCAGGTGGTAGTTTGGAATGTTGGTTTGCGTTGTGAGGTGTAGGATTGGGAGTTGGGGCAACTGGTGGATTTGTTGGGTTTTTTGAATGGCCTTAGATTTTTTTGGTTGGGTGGGGGGAGGAGAAGGGCAGGATACTTTGGGGTGGGTATGGTGGAACTCCAAAGGGGTTTGCTCAATGTCTTCTTTTTATCATTCGCTTGTGGGCGGGGATGGTGCTCCATTTTCGTGGAAGAGTGTTTGGGTGATGGGTTGTCCGTCTTAAGTCGCTTTCTTTGTGTGGACAGTGGCTTTAGAGCGTATTCTGACTATTGATAACTTGATTCGTCTTCGTCTTCGTCTTCGTCTTCATATTTTAGTTAATTGGTGTTGCATGTGCTGTGGGGATACAGAAACAGTGGACCATCTGCTTAGCCATTGTTCAGTTGCTTCACATCTATGGATGGCCATTGTTGCTCTCTTTGGTTTGGGTTCAACCAGGGTTGACAGCGGAGGTGTTGCAAACAGAGTTTTAAAAGGCTTTCTTGAGGCTCGCCTCGCCTTGAGGCTAAGGTAAAACGCATCAAGGCTTTGATTTTTAGGCATTACTCTCCAAAGGCTTGCGCATCATAGTTTGAGACATGCGTCTTAAGTGCGCTTTTTACGCTTTTTGCGCATAAGCATGTGAGGAGTATGCACATGCAGAAGTTGCCTTGGCCATTTGTTAAACTTAGTCTATTAGATTGTTTAAACATAAAAAATTAAAAAGAATCCATTTTTACAACTATATTCTACAGGAAAAATTAAGTAAATGATCAATCAGGAAAAACATAGTTAATGGTCAAGTGAGAAGCTCAATCACTGAAGTTAAGAATATTGATTTCTCTTTCTATCCAGTAAAATGTTCAACGCATTAAAGCGAAAAGTATTTACACATTTATATTTAATTTTGTTTTTATTTTTTTAACGATTCAAAAATATTTAATTTATTCAGTAAATATTAAAATTTGAAATTTGAAATGCTTACGCCTCAACGCCTTGAGGCTTCCGCCTTGCCTCATGAGGGGTAAAACGCCTCAAGGTACGCATTCGCCTTTAAAAACTTTGGTTGCAAAGTTGGGTTGGGGGAGGGTTGGGAAGAGACGTTGGAAGGTGTGGTTGCTTGCGGGCCACTGTTTGATGTGGTTGATTTGGTTGGAGCGGAATAAATGTACCTTCACTAGCATGACTCGGTCGGTTCCATGGTTGGAATGACATTTGCTTACTGTGTTACATAGTTGGATTATGGTTTCAGTAGATCCAGATGTGCTGACCTTTGTAGATTTTATAGAGGATTTGATTAGTTAGTTATTTTGGGTTTGCTCTCTTTTTAGGTAGCTTGTTAGCTAGCCCTTTAGTTGGTTTTTGTATTCGTTGCATGACTTTATGCTTTTTTATTGAAGTTTGATCATTTCTCAACCCAAAAAAAAAAAAAATGTGGTGCCATAACCTGATGACTTCCCTAACATCACTTAATTCTAAGAGGCATGTAGTTTCTGTGGAAGATTCTCCTTTAGATGTATAATGAGTAATAACACAGTTTTGGTTGCTTAATTAAGAAGCTATCTCGACATAGAAATTAGATCACGTAGTTTTATCAATCTTCACATGGAAATTCTAATCACATGATCTAATTTGAAGTTTTAGTAGCAATCGGTTGGCCTTCTGATCTTTGGAATGGGAAAAATTCCAACATCTAATCACCCACATCTTTAAATTTCTAAGCTAGAATATTCTCTCTAATGACACACACATGCACACCAGCATGCCCACTTGTTTATTGAAATTTCTCCTGAATTTTTAGACTATAAATTTCAGCAAGTTAGCAAAGAACCTTTGAACATTTCCATATGGTAAAATACATTTGTTTTCATGTTTTAGGCTACTTATTTTATTTTTGCTGATAAGTACTGAGTTTTAGCTAACTATTACGTCCATCTTGTTGTACCTGGTGTGGGTGACTGTTACTTGTCTCATTTGAACTTGTTTTGGCTGATGGTAATATGCTGGATGTCTTCCAATTGTAACTCGCTGCCCCTGCCTTTTTCCAGGGTTGGAAAAGGATGACTGAAAAGCTATAGTTGATTTTTGTGAATAATTACGATTTATCAGCCTGTTTAATTTAGTTACCTACTTGTACTAGTTATAGAGATTTGATTATTACTTTATTCTCTTTCATAGATTGTCTTCCGACATGAACGTTTCAGACATTAGACACTTGTGAATTATGTCTATGTGTTTTTATTTATGTCTATATTTGTTGCATTTTTGCAATGTATTTTAAATCTATGTTACATGGACTCGAATATGAGTATTGGATGTGAGTCTAGGCATCAGATCTTGATAAACCTAAAACTTAGGATATTAGAATATGCATCCGTTGAGAAGGGATACATATCTTAAATACTTTTATGTATTGCATATTATATAATATTGTTATATAAGATACTGTAAATTATTAAAAAATGTATTTCAAAGTAAATGAGATTCAAAAAAATATAGAATTTATATCTCACATTCGTGTGAGAAGCTGGAAATGTTTTTTTATTAGCAAATTCTTCAAACATCATATGAAATTAGAGGATCCAAGTTTCTAAATTGGGTACGGGTATTGGACACATCCCATACCCTTACCTTTGTCATATTTGGTGGACACGGCCCACGGGTACAATGGGTTAACTAGAAGAGTGCATGTAACACAATTTAGAGATATCTCTAAAAAGATCCCAATCGTGCTGGTGACACCTAGACAGTCCATGTAACAGTTCTAAAATGTTTTGCTCATGGTAATATGGTCTGGTCATCATATATATATGAGATATTGTTTAAATCTCTCTTTTCATTACTTGCATTCTTTCTACATAATTGCTATGCTCTTTTGTGGCTTGTCTGCTATGCTCTTTTGTGTCTTGTCTGCTATGGTTTCTACATAAGTGCTCTTTTATGGTTTCTATATAAGTGCTTTTACACATCTATTAAACATTTTCTCTTATATTGTTTGGATTTTCAGAGTGCTTCAGATAGGGTTTTGGCAGATGACAATTTTGCTACAATTGTTGCCGTAAGCTTTTCTTATTTCGTCTTGATGAGTAGGAATTTTATTTCCTTGGCATGTTTGTCTTCTTTAAGTCAGAAAAAATCTCATGGTTTCAATCATCTCAAGAATGAGTCATATCCAAGCAGGCTGTTGCAGAGGGAAGAGCTATATACAATAACACAAAGCAGTTTATCCGATGCATGATATCTTCGAACATTGGTGAAGTTGTTTGTATTTTTGTGGCAGCTGTACTTGGAATACCTTAAACTCTTGTTCCTGTGAGTATATTTGCTTACAGAATATGATCTTTTGTTTAATTCACTCTTATTTGTTGAAGTGTACATGTAAATGACTCGTCTGATTAGTTCTTGTTTTCAACATAAAAGTTGGTGGCATGGCATGCATATTTTTGTGTGTGAAAACTTGAACATAATTTAACATAAATTTAGCCATATACGGAGACTATTGCTTGGTGCTATGGCATACATTGGCTGTCAAGCATGACATTGTGAGTTGGAGTTTAAGGGCAGCCGCCTATGCAAATAATGGCAGAAAATAGATCTGTATTTAGTCCACCATTCCCAGCACCTTGCATTGGCATGACCATTACTGGGTTCTCCTATTTAGGTTTCAGTATAAAAATGCATGATGCTTGATTATCTGCTATACGCTCATGGTCCCTTGTGTAGAAAGTTTACCTTACCATGACCAAACTGGTGACAGTGGCGATGATGCATTTGTGAGGTGTAAGGAGCGTAACGGTTGTTGCAACCAGAGCTGTGAAATTTCACACTTCTCGTATAATTTTGCGAAAACTTACCGATACACATGTTTTTATTTCAGAATCATATTTGTTTAGGTTTAAAATGGTTTTTTTTGGGGATTTAGTATAGTTTTTATCCAATGTATGAACTGAATTTTGTACTTTTTTTTAAAGTCTCTATAAAGAAAGTTCACATTTTTCACTCAACATTTAATGATTTCATCCGTGATACATTTATAATGCACTACTTTACTGTTATTTGTTTTGTTATTAATAGTTTTAAACTAGTGATATTATGTTGTGTTTCAAATTTGCAGGTTACATATGTTTAATAAATAAATATGAATACAATTATTATTTTATTGAAAAAATTAAAATCATATGATTCATATTTTTCAAGTTATATAAGTAAACCAAGCCAAACCAAGCCAAACCAAAGTAACAAATGGAGTCAGTTACATGAATTTTTGTTTTCCATTCAACTTTATCCAAGGCCATAGTGTTAGTCAAATTAAGGAGATTCATATCTCTATTTACTACACTAGCTCACGTCAATCTAGGTCTGCTTCTTCCCCTAACACTTCCATCTACAGTCACTGTATCGCATCTCTTTACTACTGCCTCTATTGGTCTCTGTTGTATACGACCAAACCATCGGTCTGCTTCTTCCCCTAACACTTCCATCTACCGTCATTGTATCGCAACTTTTTACTACTGCCTTTGTTGGTTTCCGTTGTATATGACCAAACCATCTCAATCTATTTTCCCTCAACTTATAAAACTTACAAGTTAAAACTACATACAAAAATAATGTTCAATAAATAAAAAACAGAAGTTGATAGAAGAGAAAATGCGCAAAAATGTGTTGGCCATTGTTATGTAACAATAGTAACGGCCGTGAAATTCAATAATACCTCTATAGTAGCCATAATGAGTAGTGGTAACTGCCCATACAGTTAGGGAATAGCATTACGTAACGATTACGACCTATTTTTAGAACACTAACTGTGACATAAATAAAATAAATTCATCCATATACTTAAAAGCTATGTCCTCATTCTATTTTCAAATCTGTTATTTTATTGGATATTTTTATGTTTCCCTGATGTCATAGTGAAGTAAAGTTGAGTGATTGATTTTTCTCTTCCAGGTCCAGCTGCTCTGGGTAAATTTAGTTACTGACGGATTGCCTGCCACTGCTATTGGTTTTAATAAGCCAGACTGTGATGTGATGAAGGCTAAACCTCGTAAGGTAATCAAATCGATGTCCTTTATAACTTTGTGGTCTTCTGCTATTTGATTACTTTTAGTCACTTTTAACCATTCCGTATAATACAATTTACAACTGAACTATGATATTTGTTTTTGTTAAATTAATTTGATCTCTATGTGGCTGCTAATGTGTGGTGCTTGTAAAAGGCACAAAAAAAAATAGAGAATTGAAACCTTACAACCGTTTGAATTAGAAAAGGTTGTTGTAAGACTCTGAACCTCTGTTGCTTTTCTCTCCTTGGTAACCTGATGAAGCATAAGTTTGATCTAAGAAGCATGGATATGGAGACAAGATGCAGGGATTCTAAAAATTTAGGATACGGACACACAGGAAATATGGGAAAAAGATATTTTCATACATTTTTATTCACTATGTATAAAAATATAAATTTAGGATACATAGATTTGAGAGATATCGATGTATATATGGGCGTATTTTTATTTTTTTTCTACTTTTCTCCTCAAATCAGCTTTCTAAAATTGTAAGAAAAATCTACGAAGGTGTTCTGAGTGTCCAATCACAAGACATGTGTCCATGAAGTATCTCCAACGTATCCTACAGAAAAAGTAATAATTAAAAACATTAACACGCTACATGGTGTGTCAGACACGTGGACATGTGTGTACCCACCATGTCGGTGCCTCTTAGAGTTTGATTAATCTTTCTTCGTTTACGAATTATGTAAAATCCATTGGTGCTTCAAGATGGCAGAATGTCCCGACGATAATAGGGTTTTACAATAGATAATTTTATTTAGACCTATGTTTCAATGGTTTATGCTATCTATTGTCTTTAAAAAATTCAAAATTTTATAGAATTGTATGATTGTTGGTCTTTGAAGGAAATTGTTTGATTTTAGATAGCACTTCTGGAAAGTTTGTATTTTTATTTTTCTATTTTTTGTGAACTGTTCCTGCAATGTTAAGAGATGTGATTGATTTATTTATTTTTGAAAAGTGAAAAATAGACACTGTAAGCATCTGTCTATTATGCATCATAAACAAAACAAAACTTTTGGTTAATGCTAGTATTGGACCTTCCATTGTGTTTGGTATCAAGAATTGTGTTCCATGGGCTTGTCACATTACCCCCGTGTTCAGACCAAGAAAGATGATATAGTATAGGCCAAAGTGTGGACACTGCTACTGTTACCAATGGAAGAAGAGAGGAACAGAATGAAACGTGGTCAAAGAGAAAATTTCATTACATGGTTGGAATTTATCATTTTTGGAGCTGGAAACCTAGGTTGAATAGGTTGCCAAAGGCAATCATAGTTGTGATGGTGATCTAGACTTCTCCATACAGGTGCAGCTGTAAGAAAATGTTTGAACTATAAATAATTTATTGGCAAAATTTACAAACAAAAAGCTCAAGTTTTCTATGTTTTTAAATAATATAATTTATTGTTTATATAGCAAAATAACCTCTAATATTATATATGCTTACGACTTCTCAGCCACCATTGAGTCTGTAATACTGACACCAAATCTGAACAAGCTGACACTTAACTTTGTCCTTGTATCCCAATATTGTCCTCGTATCCCAAGCTTTTGAATTAGAAAGATTATACTATTAGATTTGCACTCACATGTGTTTAGTTGTGGTTTTGTGAAAACATCCATATTGTTTATACATCATTTTCATATTGTTTTGATTTTTTGGTGAAAACAATTGTTGGCACATAAATTTTAAACCAAATTTATGTTTAAATTTCAAATACAGTCAATGACACACATAGCCTACAATAAGATTGTTGTAGGCAATCACTTCCCAAAATGATTAATTTGCTCCGTTGAGGTATATAAATAAAACAACGTCGTCTCTTAACGACGTTATTCAAGATGCTCAAATGACACGTGGAGCCTACGAAAGATAACACCTGTAGAGCCTACAGCAAGGACACCACACAGGATGAAACCCCAAAGATCAATCCGGTTAATCAGATATATGATTAATCAGATAGCGCTGTTATTCAAAATTCAAATAGGCGCTATCATTCAATTTGAAATTCAAAATGAAGATGAAGCGTTCCTATCACTTGATGGCCCTCCATAAATATGAGGACCATCACACAAGACTGAGGGATCAAAAAAATCATAAGTGGAAAAGAAGAGAGAGAGAGAAAGAAATTGAGAGCTAAACAAATCGTTACAAGAAAGAAGAAGAGAAGCTTAGAGAACTCAAGAGCCTACGCTAATGGCGATGAATAGGTAAAGGGTTCCAAACCCAAACTGTATTTTGTATTCGAGGGTTCAAAACCCATAACAATCTTAATAAAATATTTCTTTTTTTTAAATTGTCTTTTGTTGTTTATTTTGTTCTTCATTAATCGGAGGATTCATTTGTATAAAATGTGTAATTAACGATCTGAAATACAGATCAGAAATAAGAACCTGCTATTCAAATAATCAACACTGTTTAGTCCAAAAACTAAACAGTGGACATTTGTAACATAAATTTTGAAATGTGTTAAAACACTTCATGTTTTAAAATTTGTGTCTACAACAGTTTTCATGTTGTTTCCTAAAAACTGGGTTGCTTTTAGAAAATTTTCCTGGAAAATAGTTTGCCAATTTTTCGTTGTTTCTTGGAAAATGTAAACTGATAGCAACAAACGAACACAACCAATCATGCCTATAGGTATCCTTGTACATGTAAAATAGCTGAAATGACTCACTTGGTTTTCCTCTATTTAGATGAACAACCTTAAATGCGCTCAATGTTCTTTTTGACATGGAGAATAGAGGAAGTTAAATTTACAAAAAGTTGAAAATTTCTTGTGGAGAAACTAACTCTTTATCTAGGTTGACTTTATCAAGGTCAACATGGAATTGTAGAAATGATTTATAAATTTCATATGGTAGGAAATATGATACGGATGTGAGACATAGATATGACACGATATAAAGACAACACCATGATAATTTTCCAAGAAATAGCGTACAACACTACCAAGGACGCAACAAAAAATAAATATACATTGGAAAAAAAATAAAAATTCCTTTCATTTTTTATACTGAAATACATGTATCTTTTGTTAGCTAAACAATAAAAATCACTTTTCACATTCTACATATTAGAAAAGAAGTGCAAACAAAAAGTTCAAATATCTATTTTAGAATGTTCTATTCACAAAAAAATTGGAAGGCTTTGTTCTTAAAATTTAAAAAATTTGAAAGAGCGGGATTAAGTTATATATCCGCATTGTTTTTATTTTATTATTGGATCCCAAGTAATTTTCTTCAAACTTGCAGTGTGTTTTGTGTGTGTCTTAAGCAATGGACATGTGTGTCTCCCAAATGTTCGAAGTGTGTTTGGTTTAAAAAAAATATATATGTTGGACAGGTTTGGATAAAAAATATGTAGGACAGGTTTGGATGAGTGGCTCACATGTATCGGGGAGTATGCAATGAGTGTTGATGTCCGACGTCCATCATTTTATTACGAGTGTCCATGCTCTTAGGTCATAAGAGTTAAAAGTATTTAGCCTATCACCTTAACTTTAAAAAAATAATAATAATAATAATAAAGGAAATGTGTTATAGCTGTTTCAGCAAGAAGCTGGTGGGGTGCATTTTAATTGTGAAAGATTTTCCCAATTCTGTTTTGAGCATGGAAGAGCTTTGACATGATTGTAGTTCAAGTATTTGAGTTGAGAAGTTGAATACCTTAAATTATTTCCTGGTAAAGTCTAAAACCATCCTATTTTCATGTCTTTTACAAAAATTACACTTGTAAAGTCACCTCTATTAACTAAAATCTAATTGAAGAGTAAATTTATTTGTTGATGGTACCTTCTAATGGATTGTCTTAAGAAATATGTTGTAGCATATTAGTGTTGGAATACATACTCGTATCAAGTTCTTCCACAAATTTAAGATGTGAACTCGTGCCACACAAGAGGTTGCACTTTGTATAATATATGCATTAGTACGGTTGAAAACTTGTTGCATACTAAAAAGTTCTGAAATTTATCTTTTTATATTTTTATTCTTGGTGCATTCTTCTTCTGTATACGAACTCGGTGGATCTGCTCTAACCCTCAAAAATAGGAAGAAAAGAAAAGAAGAGGGGGTGGGAGGTGGGGTGGGTTTGATACCCCCAGCCTCCATTTGTTTAAAAGGATATGTGAGGGTACGAAAAGTTTTGTGTTAAATTTTTTCTTAATAGTGGGCCATTTTCTGGGCAGTAGGGTTCATGGCGACTGCTGCTAGGGTATGGTATGTGCTCTGATGCCATGTGAATTTACAAACAATATGTGTATTATCTCCATAAACAACGATTACAAGCTCTAAATATATATACCAACAATTAAATACTAATTAGGAAACAACAATTAAACGCACTAATCTCCCCTCAAAATAATATTACAGTTTCCACAATTCCATAATGATGGTTCTTTGTTTCTTGTATAATTCATTGAATTGTGAATCTAGTAGTACGTTCGAGTGTTTTTTTTTTCTTAGAAAGGGAAAAACTTTCTTATTTCTATGATTTTACTTTTTTGTTTGTTTGAATGTGCAGGTTAATGAAGCTGTTGTCAGTGGTTGGCTATTCTTTCGTTATCTAGTTATTGGAGGTATAGTCTGTTAGCACTTCTTTGTTTTTCACCTTGTGGTCCAATTTGCAGAATGCTTCTTACAGCATACCCATGAGAGAAATTTGGACGAGTATTTCACATGTTCACTATTCAAGTTGTTGCAAAGATCAATAGCAAGAGGTTGATTTTAGTTCAATTTTTTGAACTGTTGTATGACTGAATTATTTGGTTTTTGTAGCTTATGTTGGACTTGCCACCATTGCGGGATTCATATGGTGGTTTGTTTTTGCTGATAGTGGGCCTAAATTACCATATGTTGAATTGGTAAGTTGTATCTCATATTAGACTACTGTGTGATATTTGCTGCGTTTGTTTTTGGTTTTGTATGACATCAGACCATGCTTTTGAAAGTCGCCAACTTTATAAACTCAACAAAATTTGACTTCAGATTAGTGTGGATAGAACTACATACAGGCAAAACGAGGCGATGGCACCCTTGAGTTCACTAATTTCACCCACATATATATTTCTGTACATACATGAAAGATGAGAAATACGTTGTTTTCCATTATTGGCCTCTCGTGTTTTTTAATTTTTTAACAAAATTTGTTTAGTGGCCTCTCCCAGTCTCTTATATCTTGTAGGTGCTCCACTGATTCTATTTTTTGTGTTGATAAATTTTGAAATTATCATTGGGTTTCCTAATTAATAACTACCTACATTGGTTAATTATGATTTGTGCCTTTCTCTATCTTCTCTATGTTTTTATGGATATAAACTATTAATACAATACATATATATACACACATGCTACTCTGTTTCAAAGGGTTTGGCTGAATGGTTGGGTTGAGCAAGGGGAAGGGGTTGAAGGGTACGTCAATTTGGCCCCTCCCAATATAAATCCTGGTTCCACCCTTGCACATTAGATGTCTTAATATAAACAGATCCAAATTCAAAGAAATACATTTTGGAAGAATAGTGAAATATTTGACCAAATTTCGGAAAATCCAGACTTAGAATTTAGACAGAAATGTCTTGAGTTTTATTTTATTCTTATTTAAATTCAGGCTAAATCTAATAGAAAATTCAGCTAAAGATATTTAAGAATTTAATTCCCACTTTAATCCATAAAGTTGGAAATTCAGTAAATATCAGATTAGGATTGATTTCAAAATTGGCTATGTTAGAGACTTGTCCCACGTTGCTTCTTTAAGCCATCCAAGCTTGGTTCATGTGGCCTAGAGGTTTCTTCACCTATAATTAATTAATTTTGAGTTAGATGTCTCCAAATTTGTTACAAGCTGACTGAAAAAATGTGGTTAACCTTGCATCAGTGTCCCTATTATGAGTTGATTTATCGGTTATACACATATTAAAGCGATGGTCTACAAATTTGAGGACAAGTTTATGTTCACACTTGGCTTGACATATTGTAAATGGAATTGCTTCACTTTCTTCTTTTTGGCTTCCCTTTATATAATTTCTAATGGGCAAATTACATATACCTCCCTCGAGGTTTACCTAAATTATAGATACCCCCTAAGGTTTCGAAAATTACAGATACCCCCTCCCCCCTGAGGTTTATATTTTCATAACAAATTGCCCTCTGAGGTTTATATTTTCATATCAATTTGCCCCATAATTTGTTATGCAAATAGTACCTTCAGGGGGGTATCTGTAATTTTTCAAATCTCAGGGGGTATTTATAATTTTGCTAAACCTCAAGGGGGTATATGTAATTTGCCCATTTCTAATTGTCAATATATTTGTATTTGATCTTTCAAATTGCTATGACTTTACATCTAGCTGTGAAAATATTCTAGCTGCCGTCTGGGCTGTGTGTCTTTCAGTTTCTATTCAGAACCAAATTATACAATAAGCAACCATGCAGAGCTACGAAGCGTGTGTACAGGTATGTGTATTGGTACGATACCGGTGAGAGTCGATATGGTAAAATCTAAAAAAAGTAGGGTACAAGTACAGTTAGGTCCGATTATAAAAACATATTTTTATTTTTATTTTTGAGTAATGTAATACAAAAATTAGTTTAATGCTTTAGTTTGTTAAGAAGATCCAACTTACAATTCATATTTAATGGCAAAAAGTAAAGGTATAAACAAAAATTACTTGTCATTATATTAAATAACTTACAAGTCATAACTTAGTTTTAAAATCATGCTAAGCTTAAAAAAAGAACAAATAAATAATGTCTAATGAAACTAATTTTACCTCTATATAGAACAAAATATTGTTTTGATTGAGGTATGGTATGGCTTCAGTACATACTAGGTGTGTCTGGGGTACGGCAAAAAGTAAGAAGAAAAAATTTGGTACATTTTTCATGTACAATATGCATGAAGAAGTACCATACGAAGTACAAATACCCATGGTTGATAGAATCATATGATTCACGATTCGATTCATACGATTAGATACAAGTTTCAAAAAAAAAAAAGATTCGAATTGTGCTGTTGAATAAGAAATTGATTGAATCGTACGATTCAATTTACGATTCACTATGATTCATTGTGATTCACTACGATTCATTACGATTCACTACGATTCAGTTCTATTTTTATTTTTGTTTACATAATGCATGAAACAACGTCGTTTTCGCCAAACTATGAAGATATATTGAAGAGATACGTGGTACAGGTACAATATGTTTGTCGAAATACCCATGTTGCATAGATATAGAGTAATATAAATAGAATTTTCGATTCTGCAAGTTTAAAAAATGGTTTGTTCTAAAGAATGTATCATTCAGTCTTTTACATGATGGAATTAAATGGAAATTTTAAATTTGGTTTGAACTTAATTATTATTATTATTATTTTTAAAAGGACTCTGCTAACACTTCATATGTCTTTTTTTCAACAATAAGCATTCGGCATTTTATTGTTGATCCCATGATCTGCATTGACAATGGTTTGATTTTCTGTTCAACAGAATTATTGGTTGTGCATGCCCATAAATTATCCTTTTTCTACACTAACATTTTGTACTACACTATCTCAGATGAATTTTGACACTTGTTCAACGAGGGATACAAGTTATCCATGTAGTATATTCAATGATCGGCACCCATCAACTGTGTCAATGACAGTGCTTCTTGTTGTTGAGATGTTCAATGCATTGAATAATCTCAGTGAAAATCAATCTCTCCTGTAAGTATTCACTTGAACCTCAAACTTCATCTCAACTTTGATACTGTCTCTGTCCCCAGATCGATTCATTTGAAAGCTGAATGTGTGACATGTAAAAACATGGTTATAGCTAGTTTCTTGGATTTCCATCTTCTTCCCATAAGGTACTGTATAAAATCAAATCAGGGAAGAATAAAGATTTTTAGGCCTTGTTTGGTTTGTGTTTCTCAAAAAATTTTGGGAAAAATTCTCTACAAATAAGTTTTCAAAAGTACTCAAACCAAGCAAATTTTTCCAAAAATTTTTTTCAAAACTTGTTTGGTTTACAAATTTTCTAAACAAATCTCTCCCTCATACACACATCAAATCAATCACTTTTTGCAAAACTCTCTCTCAAAATAATTTTTCAAAACATCTTTTGAAAAAAAACCAAACCAAACAAATTTTCGTACTTTTTATCTCAAAACATGTTTCTCAAATACAAACCAAACAAGGCCTTAATTTTTCACTAATACAAGTGGCCATGAAACACTTTTAAAGGTGATAGATTTGGAATACTGCTTTTCATTAAGATACTACTTCTTGGCTTCTCAGAAGTGCAGCAAACTAAACTGCATGAAGAATACCATTGAAAATAGTGTTTGCAAAGCAAAGTGTAGTTTAAAGGCTTTGAAAGAACAGAAATGACCACTTGTAAATTTGGCTGTTCTGTTTCTCCTAATATATATATATATATATATGTTAATTATATTTGTAAAAGTATTAATAAAATGTCAAATTTATTACAACAAACTCACAGCAAACCAAAGTTGTTATGCGAGGGACGTGGTCCACACACACCGCATGGTTGAAAATGTCTTGGACACATATGTCGTAAAATGTTTATTTTTTGATTTTTTTAATTTATTTTATCTTTTTATCGGTAAAAAATTGTGAGAGGTGATGTGATCCAAAATGGATAAAAAGTTAAAAATTATCTTTTTTTTTTTACTTTTCAAAAGACATAGTATAAACCAAGGGGCATATAATGGCCCTATTTTTGTGAACATTCCAAACCAAAAAAAAAAAAAACTAATGACCATGTCTGGTTCAGAAAATTGAGCCAACTTTTCATAAATTTAAGTTTTTTATTGTCCGCATTTTTTTATTTATAGTAAATTTTTTTAATATTTTTTTAAATTTTTTATTTTCTTAATACACTTAATCTAAATACGCTTTAAAAATATAATATTTGTGAATTTTTTTACAAAAAAAATAATATATATATATATATATAAATTCAATACATTTTCGTATTCTTATGTATTTATTAATTTTTTAAAAATTTTGTGTTGCAGGTGACGCCATTGTCTTGGGCTGAGTGGATTGTTGTTTTGTATCTTTCATTTCCTGTGAGTAGTTTGATTACATTCCTTGTTTGCTGATGTTCATATTCTCTCTTTGAGTATCGGCGCTTATTATCTTGCCATGTTGGTACATCTTCTGCTGCTAACTGCGTTATGATATTGTTAAAATTAATAGACAAATGACATGAATTGCTACTTTTTTCTTGTTATTGATAGAGAGTGGTATTCTCTGCCCCTGTCAAATGTGTTGCACATGTGTACCTGATTACTGCATTTCTCTATTGTGGGTTAGTTTCCCTTGGAATGTAGGTGTTTGGTGTAGCTTATAAGCTGCTTTTATCACCTTTTAACTTATATTAAGTTAAAAATGAGTATTTGGGGTAGCTTAATGGGATCGATTTATGGCTTAACACAGCTTATTTTGGCCCCAAATAAGCTGTTTATTGCAACCATTGAAAGAGGTGCTTCTCGGCTTATAGTTTATGCAGAAAGCTGTGTTAATGGGTGAAATTATTTAAACATCCCTTGGATTTTGCAAGAATTACAGCTGTGCCACTATATGAATATCCCAACCATTCATTTCACTGCTTCTCTCCCTCATGACTCTCTCTCTCTCTCTACTCATTTTCTTTGATTCTTTCGACTTGGCAACATGACTTGCCGACAACTACCGAAGATGGGTGACGATGCGGCCGACAACTTCTGAAGCTGGGTGACGACAATCAGATGTGTAACGAAGGCAACTCGTTGCCTAGATGACAAGCACCTGAACTTCTTGATGATTTTGTTTCAGTTCTTTACTATCTTTGATCCCTTTGCTACAGATTTGGGTTTGATGATTTTGGATCACAACCACCAAATAGATTTCGATTTTGATTTGTACTTTGCTTTCTACGATGGTGGTTGTTAATCTGTAGCAATTTATGGAAGAATCCAATCCACAATTTAGGGTTTTTGTAATGATTTTGAGAAGAAAAAAATCCAATTTACGGATTAGGGTTTTGTGCAGTTCATGATGCTCTAGTCATGGAACAACGGGAATTCAATCGATGTTAAATCAAACCCAAAAACCATTGCGTACATGTATAATACATGTCACGCCCCGAACCCGCCCCTATGGGTTAAGGGTAATCACGAGATTACCTACGGCCACAAACCAAATAAGACAAAACTCATCAGAGTAAAGGGGCCAAACGGAAGCAAATTTAAAACTTTATCCATAGAGTCGTGCTTATATGCACATCATAACATTCCACATTTACATATGTTAATAACTCACAACAGAAAGTATAGTAGCATAAGGTTCTGTGCAGACAGGATCATTCAAATCTAAGTCAGCCAACCAAAACTATACACAGACGTATACCAAAGTCCTCGCCAACATGACAAAAATACACAGAATGGCAAAAGGGCGAAGACGTGTCTCGTGCGTGAGACACAAGGGCTGACTCTTCAAAACTTTGGTTGTTCCATACAAACTTCACTGAGGCTGGGTCTAGACCTCTCTTGGCTCACCTACAAAAACACATGAATGAGCGTGAGCGAAAGCCCAGTGAACAATATCAAATAAAGAATATACATTGGAATAATATACCTCAAACGGCCTTGGGCCCAGTTTATATTACTAACTAATACACACATACATAGACATATGTAAGTTAGGTAATTGCGGGTTCCAAACACATCATACGGCCTCGGGCACAATTCATTAGTATCATTCAGGTCAAACTGGTCTTTGGCCCATTCATACTTTCATGTCAAACTGTTATTCGTGTCAAACTATCATTCGTATCAAATTGTTATTCGTGTCAAACTGGCCTTTGGCCCATTCATTTATTCATGTCGAAACGGCCTCTGGCCCATTCATTCATTCATTCTTGTCAGAACGGCCTCTGGCCCATCCATTCGTTCTTGTCAAAACAGTCTCTGGCCCATCCATTCATTCTTGTCAAAAAGGCCTCTGGCCCATCCATTCGTTCTTGTCAAAACGGTCTTTGGCCCATCCATTCATTCTTGTTAGAAAGGCCTCTGGCCCATCCATTCGCTCTGTCAAAACGGCCTCTGGCCCATCTATTTATTCTTGTCAGAACGGCCTCTGGCCCATCCATTCGTTCTTGTCAAACGGCCTCTGGCCCATCCATTTATTCTTGTCAGAACGGCCTCTGCCCCATTCATTTGGTATAGCAAACATTGTCCACCAATCGAATCAACGAATCTTATAAAACTTACATGGACGTAAGCAATTGGACAATAACATATTTCAGATATCTTTGTTAAGATATTACTCGCAGTGATCGGCTGGTTGATTTGGCCTGGAGCTTGACCCTACACATCACATAACACATATGGGTCACAACCGATTCAATCCGTTCTTTAATTCACATATTCCTCTCTAGGCTTTATTCTTATTCTTCTAACTCAATTACAATGCTCAATACATGCCTAAGAGTACTTAGAAGTGACAGAGAATGGAAAACGAAACTCAGAATGTCTTTTCAAAATTTCAGAAAACAGGGTCCCCGCTCGAGCGTGGAATTCCCCGCTCGAGCAGACCCTTGAGGCCTGCAAAAGTACTGGATATGTCAAATTTATGCTCTGATAATTTTCACCCCTTTTCTTTTCCTGAATAGCTTAGTGAAACCTACAGTAGCAAGTAATATCTTATATGTAGACTATTTTGTTTAATTGTTTCTGATTTAAATATAATACACTGCATCACTTTCTGTTTCATATTTTCTTGAGCTCCAATTCGACATTCAATGGTTCTAGATGCATGCTTTTGGCTCAAACTTCACATAATCATATACTAACACGGTACCAACACCAAATTACAACACGATGGAGCTCAATTTCACAAATTAATCACATGCATGGCTCAAATTGACCCAAACTCATCACCAACACATTAACTTTAAACATTCAAGACCAATTCGTCCGTGGTTTGTACTTGCATGTGGAGGACACTCATTATTCTCAACTTAATTGGTGAAGAAATGATCAAATATATGGATTTAAACCAAAAATTCAACATGGATCATACACATTGTGCTCAAACATGGAAATTTATAGCAATTCCTTACATGCATGTGTTCTATGACTTTCAATTCAACAAAACCAATTCATTTCTGTTACAAATGGTACAAATGATGCTCCAAATCATGAAGCTACACAGAACTACTCATGCATGTAAGGTTTGATGCTCCATTCTTCATATTTAACATGCTACATGCTAGAACACCCAAAATTGTAACAATTATGTACATGCATGTTCATTTTAACTTCAAATTCAGCTCAATCTTAGCCATGAGCTACCATACTACTTGATTTCACAAAATTACATACTCAACTCATAAATCAAGAATTGATTACTCACCTAGGAGCTTCAAACACTCAATGTTCTTTGAGTTTTAACTTCCAATTTCACAATCTTGGATCAAAATGCATAACTCCTCCTCTCTCTCTAGAACCGGCCCTCTCTCTCCCTCTCTAGAGAAATCTCAGCCCAAATGGATAAAAGAGAGGAATCGAGTGCGTTGTGCCCTCTTATGTAAGTCCCACTAGTCAAAATTATTAATATTAAATAATTGGGCACTTAATTGATCGTTCTGAATCTAATTATTTTGATTCGAATCAATTTTCAATCAAATTTCACCGTAGGCTCTAAAAATTATGCCAATCACGATGGCGCAATCAATTTCAGGTTCTGTGGCCGATAAGGCCTTCAATTTAAATTCCAAAGCAGATAATCAAACAGATATTCCTATGGTGAACAGATAGAAATTCAAAACCACATATATTCATATAAATGGCACTCAAAATCATATCAAACACATAATCATATGCATAAGGAAGATCAATTAGCATAATACGGAACAGGGGTATCACAGTACAAATTGTAAAGAAACATCCCATTATTTGGCAAAATATAATCTTACTGTGAGACATGTTCTTTGGAAGGAAAGCTTTCCTCCATAGCTTACCCACATATCCAGATTGCAGTCTTCCTGTGTGAAAAAATTATGAAAATAGTTCTGAAAATGAAATTTTGAAAAAAAAAATTATTTTTCACAATTTTTGCATTTCTTACAAGGGCAAAATGATAATTACACAATGAAAGGTAGTATACAACTTATTCTAACAAACACTACCTTCCAGCTTAAATGTATAATCTAACATCTACACCAAACAAGCTAACAACTTCTATTTAAAGCTATAATCTAATAATCTAAAAACGGCCCCTATGTAGTAAAACTGATGGACAGCTAATATCTTACTTTCCCATCCATAATTGAAATGTAGGGGATGTATATACCACATTATTATGGAGAAGCAATCTTGTTATTTACTTATTTATTAGACATGCCTTTGGATCTAAATAACTCATTCGACACTTGTCTTAGAAAATTTAAAAATGAAAATCATCAACAACAATCTCTAAGTCAAATAGTTGGGTTGAATTTCTGTTTATAGTTCCATTGTAGTGTTTACATTTAAAAGACTGGCATTGAAGGATGCCTTGCTCTATGATTGGAATTAGCAACATCTTTACATTTAGTACCCAGACATTAACGCCAAATTCTATTTACTTGCTGAATGGGTTGTGAGAGTTAATAAATAGGGAATTTCTTCAATGAGCCTCAAATATGGTGGTGGCTTAGTTAAATTTTCAAATCACACTTTGTTTTATGGATAAAATCTCATTAATTACTTTTCTTTGTTTCCTTTCTAGTTGTCACCGTGTCATGGTAGCTTCTCTTCCATTACTCAGAATAGCTTTAATGATGTCTTCAACTGATAATTTTCACCCCTTTCTTGAATAACTTCAGCTCTTTTCCTGAATAGCTTAGTGAAACCTACAGTAGCAAGTAATATCTTATATGTAGACTATTTTGTTTAATTGTTTCTGATTTAAATATAATACACTGCATCACTTTCTGTTTCATATTTGGATCTCTTTCTTATTTGACATTACTTACGATATTGTCAACCTGGCATAGGTTATTATAATTGACGAGATACTGAAGTTCTTCTCAAGAAATACAAGTGGTGAGGTCATCTTAATTATTTTTTTTCCAATTTTATTATTATTATTATTATTATTCACATGCTTTGTGTAAATTGTACTTACATGTGTGTTATGGACTCTTTTATTTTCCCCGACCGTGCCCATGGAATATAATAAAGGTAAGAGTGCCATGTGTCCAACATGTCCAACACCTGTAAATTTAGACACTTGAATCTTCTAATTTTTTATGATGCTTGAAAAAAAATGAAACTTACATTTGCTATTAAAGACACATTTCTGACCTCACACATGGGTTAGAGAGAAATATCACGTCTCTTAATCATATTTAATTTCATGTACATTTCTACATAATTTAAAACATCTTATCTAAGTATATTATATTATATTATATGATATGTTATATATATGTGTGTGTGTGTGTGTGTGTGTGTCCATGATGTGTCTCCATATGTAACTTTTGGACACATCTCGATATCCTAAGATTAATGGTTGTGAATGTCCAACTTTTGGACAGACACCTGCACCCGACACTCATATCCAATTCCATGTAACATAGACTACACCCCTTAGGTTTCTAACAATCACAACACCCTCTTATGTTTCTGAAAAAACAATTTTCCCTTGTGATGACGATTGCAACAGAAAATTTACATATTTTATTATTCATAGTAATTCTTACTTTGTTTGAGGAAAGCATTTTGTAATTAAAATATTTTTATGAATTTTTTTTTTTTTTCATAAAATGTTTTCCTATGTCTAGTTGCGACTTTGAAACTAATGTATTAGTTGTTGTATTAGTGTTAGTGTTAGTGTTAGTGTTAGTGGTAGTAGTAGTGGTAGTGGTAGTGGTAGTGGTAGGAGGAGGTGGGGCAGTTGGTGTTGATGGCGGTGGGGTGGTAGTCGGGTGAGGTGGAGGTTTTGGTGGCGGAGGTGGTGAAGGTAATGTTGGCGATAGTGGTGGTGGTGGTGGAGATGATGGTCGGGTTTTTGGAGGTGATGATGATGGTAATAGTGTGGTTGTGTTGGTAAGACTTAAGTTCGGAAAACGTTTTCTATCTTTTGAAATTGGAAAATAATTTTTTCCCAAATGAGCTTGTTTTCCATTGACCGCCACAAAACATTTTATGTTGCTTTTGCTTTCTGTAGTATCTAACTCTAGAAAATACGAAAAATATTTTCTGCCAAAACAAATGGAATGTTATTCCAATCCTAACTCACATTGAGTCATCAAGTTACTCCGTCCTAACCCCATTAATAGTGATCACCTCTAATAGTCATTGCCGATGACTACCACCCTATGAAGCATCGACACTTCAAAATAAGTGTCGTATCCGTGTCGGACACGTAGACACTTTAGGGACACGTATGGGACACACCACATGGCGTGTCGCCTTATTTAATTAATTTATTTTTAGGGAATACTTTGGGGACATGCTAAATTGTCTATTTCCCCATTTTATTTAATGCTTGTGATGAATATGAATGTTTATTATTTTTTTCTTAAATTCAAATACTTAATAGATCATCCATAGTCTATTTCCCCATTTTATTTAATGCTTGTGATGAATATGAATGTTTATTATTTTTTTCTTAAATTCAAATACTTAATAGATCATCCATAAAAAATATAAACTGTAAATGTTAATTTGAAAGTGCTTTTAAAAAAAAAGAGTTAGAGTTAGTTTTTCTTAATGTTGATTGATTGTGAATATAATATTAATCTAGATAGCAAATACATATATATATATATGAAAACATATTTTACTGTCGTGCCCGTGTTCTCATAATTTTGAAATTGTCGTGTCCCGTGTCTGTGTCCATGTCCGTTTCCGCATCCGTGTTTGTGCCCGTGTCAACGCTTCTTAGCTACCACCCAATCAACCATCTCTAAAGTAGACCCATCTGTGTGTGTGTGTGTGTGTGTGTGTGTGTGTGCGCGCGTGTGTGTCTCTGTCCATAACCCATTGCCATGCAAACCATCACAGACCACAATTTATAACCTACAGACAACCTCGTCCATAATAGTCTAATAGCTAATCCTGTTCAAATATATTTTGCCTCGTATCAAGCTACTTCTATTGGGAATTAGATTATATTAATTTCACCCTTGGGAGGACAGGTTGTCTTACATGGGATGAGATTTCTGATGCCCGCTTTGAGTGTTCTATGTCCACAATAATCAAAAGATACACTAACATATTTTGATGGTTGTTCTTCTTGTTGTAGGAGCACGATCCAAGTTCAGAGTGAGAAGAGCTGATATACTTCCAAAGACAGAATTACATAATAAATGACAAGTGGAATATGTACCAAATTTGGCGCGACGTTCAGGTTGGCCTACTAACCTACAGTTTGTTGTGAAACACCATTCAGTCATGTTTCTCTCTTCTGCTTTCATCTGCATTGTGCCGAGGAACTACCTAAGATGTTTCCAATACAACCGCACAGACTATTCCAGTCTGCTGTGAGTTTTATTCTCATTCACTGATGCCAATTGGCTTTATATGTTGTAAGAAATAGAAAAAGGACAACTGCGAGTATTTTCGGATCTCATAGACTACTTTTCTCAAAATGCTGTTTGACAATAATTTATAGAATTTAAGGGGTTTTGGTTTGGCATAGAACAAGTACTACTCACGACCGCCTTCTTGTATACAATTTGCCCTCAAAATACATGGTCCTGAAGTTATGTTGAAACAACATTGTTCAGATTGATTTTTTAAGCAGTTGAATCTTTGTCCATGATGACTCAAATTCTCGTTGCCAGAGGTTGCTTTTTCTTTTTAAGATAATGGAGGTTCATGGGCTGCCGAAGATTTATATTTTATTTTATTATTACAATGTATTACATACTAATGAGTCACAATAACAATATATGTCATTATTACAAAGAAAATTGCCACCCAAGATTGCTCATAAAGGTTCAAGAGACATCTACCTTTTGAACGTAGCAAAGTTAGTAGTGTTGGTGAGATATGCTGGCTAGTAGTAGTTGTATTGTACCAGGTTGATTCAGCAGCCCTCAAACTGCCAATCTTGAAACTTGGCAGTTGGTTGAAGATGGCAGTTTCGAACCAGCTGGATGGGTGAGTTGGATTTTTTTGGCTTTGTGAATTTGATTACACTAGAATTTTGGCCTTAATTTAAATAAAGAAAAAATCAAAGTGCAAAGTACACCAGTAGTCACTTTATTAAGAAAAATTTGTCCAAAATCCCTCCCTTGAGCCATTCTTTGTTGAAAGGAACACTAAAACAATTTTTATTGTGTAAAGTCCATTAAGATAGATTTTTCTTTCAAAGACACCAACATTGTACAGGTGCATTTTTATTGACAAATTTACCTTTTTAGTTGAATTCAGTAAACATTTCTGCACAAACAAATATGATCTCTTCTTCTTCTTCTTCATCTTCTTCTTTCTGATGATCGTCAACATCAATTTCAATGTCATTATCGTTGTTGCTGTCGTTATCATCATTATCAGAACCAGTGGGAGGAGAAGGATCAAGTCGAGCAGTGTCGATGGCCCATTGGACCAGTTTCTGCACTCCATCTTAATCCACTCCATCATCACTTGCAATTGTTCTATTACTTATTGGGACGCAGTCAAGGATCAGAAGAAAAAAGAAAAGCGAAGAAGAGAGGTCTTGAGAGCAGTGAATTGAGCAAACAGATCATATTTGCTATAGTTGATGTTGCTATCAAAGCTGTGACCTTCTTCCCATCATCACTGTGATCGGTTGTTGTTTCATATTCTGTTTTTTTTTTTGTTACTGTACTGTTTAAGAAGACAATAAAGTGTTACTTTGATAGTCAGTAAAATGTTATTGTGAAATAGAGTAAAAATATTAATTTTATTAAAAATTAAAATACTAAATTAGTCGCTAAAAATATTTTGATAATAGTAGTATGTGTTAGACTTTTTAAAGAAAACTTTTTAAATTTGTTTTTAATGCATTAAAATTTTATTATAAAAGAGTTTTGACCAAATTTTTGACTTTATTTTGGCCATTGTTGTTTGAGTCATTTATAGTTTCAATTGGCTCTTGCTTGTTATCTTGGAAGTGAAATGGAGAGGTAAGACTAAAAAGTGATCTGTAGTAGAAGGGATGAGATCAATTCTCTTTAAGTGTTATTCTAACAATTAATCATTAATTTCTGCAAATAAAATTAAAATAATAAATAAATAAATAAAATTCAATTGATTCAATTTTAATTATGAATTTATGATTGTCTCAGGTTGGTTTATAATTTACAATTGTGTCATTTGAGTCATTTATAAGTGTTGGCATTTTTTAAAATAAAAAATGAACATATGAGTGACGTGTCATGCTTTTTGGAGTAAAATTGTAAATTTGATTAACTCTATAAACTAACTTCAATTAATTTAGTGACTATTTTCTATCAAAATCCCAAACTGGTGATGTCAATTGGACTAATTGTGAGCATTAAATGACATTAAATGACATAAAGGGACAGAATTCCGGACTACGAGTGCAATTAGAAACCAAAAAAAAAAAAAATACAATTGGACAAACTGTGAGCATTAAAATGACATAAAAGGACAAAATTATGGACTACAGGTGCAATCAGCAACAAAAAAAAAAATACTAGCTATTAGGGTAAGTTTGGTGGCCAGTAATTTTCCACACGAATAATCCTTCCTAGCTCAAAAAAAACTTGGCTCGAAAGGGCTCTAATTTTTTTTTTCTTTTTCTTTCCCTCTTATATCGTTGAAATAGAGGAAAGAAGAGAGAGAAGAGAGAAGAGAGAATAGGGAAGAAGAGGAAGAGAAAAAGAAAGAGACAGAGAGAGAAGAGAGAGGGAAGAGAGAGAGCACCCATCACCAGCGTCGCTATCACCAACACCACCATCATCTGTGTGTATACACAGATCTGTGTACCCTTCTCTCTCTCTCTCTCTCTCTCTCTCTGTATCTCTCTCTCTTTCTCTGTATCTCTCTCTCTCTATTCTAAGTTATGGAAGAAGAAAAGAAAAGAAAAACAGAGCAAGAACAGATACAGGAAGATGATGATGATGATGATGATGTGTTGTTGTTGATGTTGATGCTCTCTCTCTCTCACAACTCAAATTGGTCCCTCTTGAGATGTTTGAGGTGTTTCCCGGGCTTTCTCGTGATTGTTACACGATTTCGGCCCGCCGAGGCCGATTTTCAAGCGTAAGTGTGAAAAAACTGCCTTTTTCGACCTAGTTTTCAAACCGGAAGTCCCGTGCCTGTTTGTTAAGTTTTCACAACTCAAATTGGTCCCAAACCGAGAGTCCCGTGCTAGTTCCGTAAGTCTCCACAACTTACCTTGGACCCTCCCGAGGTGTTCGGGACATCTCCTGGTCCTTCTCGTGACTGTTACACGGTTTTGGCTCTCCGATGTCCTATTTCCAAGCCTAAGTGTGAAGAAAGTGTCTTTTTTCAACTTAGTTTTCAAACCGGAAGTCCCGTGCTAGTTCCGTAAGTTTTCACAACTCACGTTGGTCACTCCCAAGATGTTTGAGGTGTTCCCGGCCCTTCTTGCGACTGTTACATGATTTTGGCCCCCAATGACCTACTTTTCAAGCTTAAGTGTTAGAAAAGTGTATTTTTCGACCTAGTTTTCAAACCGGGAGTCCCGTGTCTGTTCGTTAAGTTTTCACAACTCAAATTGGTCCCACCTGAGATGTTTGAGGTGTTTCCCGGGCCTTCTCATGATTGTTACACAATTTTGGCCCGCCGAGGCCTATTTTCAAGCTTAAGTGTGAAAAAAGTGTCTTTTTCGACCTAGTTTTCAAACCGGAAGTCTCGTGCTAGTTTCGTAAGTTTTCACAACTTACATTGGTTTCTCCCGAGGTGTTAGAGGTGTTCCACGGGCCTTCTCGGGACTATTACATGATTTTTGGCCCCCGATGGCTTATTTTCAAACTTAGGTGTTTAGGAAGTGCATTTTTTGACTTAGTTTTCAAACCGGGAGTCCCATGCAAGTTCCGTAAGTTTTCACAACTCACGTTGGTCCCTCCCTAGGTGTTTGAGGTGTTCCTCGGACCTTCTCTTGACTGTTACACGATTTTGGCCCCCCGATGGACTATTTTCAAGTTTAAGTGCGAGAAAAGTGTCGTTTCGAACTTAGTTTTCAAACCGGGAGTCCTGTGCTAGTTCCGTAAGTTTTCACAACTTACATTGGTCCCTCCCGAGGTGTTTGATGTGTTTCTCGGGCCTTCTCGTGACTGTTGCATGACTTTGGCCCTCGACGGTTTATTTTCGAGCATAAGTGTGAAAAAAGTGCATTTTTTGATTTAGTTCCCAAACCGAAAGTCCCGTGCTAGTTCCGTAAGTCTCCACAACTTGCCTTGAACCCTCCTGAGGTGTTTGGGGCATCTCTCGGTCCTTCTCGTGACTGTTACACGGTTTTAACCCCCCAATGTCCTATTTCCAAGCTTAAGTGTGAAAAAAATGTCTTTTTCCAACTTAGTTTTCAAACCGGAAGTCTCGTGCTAGTTTCATAAGTTTTCACAACTCACGTTGATCACTCCCGAGGATTTTGAGGTGTTCCCGGCCCTTCTTGCGACTGTTACATGATTTTGGCCCCCAATGGCCTACTTTTCAAGCTTAAGTGTTAGAAAAGTGTATTTTTCGACCTAGTTTTCAAATCGGGAGTCCCATGCCTGTTCGTTAAGTTTTCACAACTCAAATTGGTCTCTCCTGAGATGTTTGAGGTGTTCCCAGGGCCTTTTCATGATTGTTACACGATTTCGGCCCGCCGAGGCCTATTTTCAAGCTTAAGTGTGAAAAAAGTGTCTTTTTCGACCTAGTTTTCAAACCGGAAGTCCCGTGCTAGTTCCGTAAGTTTCCACAACTTACATTGGTTTCTCCCGAGGTGTTGGAGGTGTTCCACGGGCCTTTTCGGGATTGTTACAGGATTTTTGGCCCCCCGATGGCCTATTTTCAAACTTAGGTGTTTAGGAAGTACATTTTTTGACTTAGTTTTCAAACTGAGAGTCCCATGCAACGGGTTTGTAATACCAGTTAAATTCATCCAGAGAAATTTTCCTATGGCAGAGAAAATTCTCTGTGCATTGTGTTTTGAAGCTTCAAATTCATCTAGAGAAATTTGCCAATAGTAGAGAAAAGTACTGTGTGCATTGTGTTTTTTAAATTTGATAATTGTTTTGTACTAACACAGTGCATTACAGATTGCATGATCATATAGGCACCCTCTTTGGCACGGTACGAGTTAAATTTCTCTGTGAATTTCTAGTAACATCATACCAGGGAAATTTCTGCAGACAATTTTCTCTATGTTCTCTGTGAATTTCTAGTAACGTCATACCAGTCAAATTCATCCATAGAAGTTTGCCAATAGAAGATAAATTTACTATGGGCATTATGTTTGTTGAAATTTGCATTGTGTTTTGTGAGGTCCAATTCATCCAGAGAAATTTGCCAATAGCATTGAAAATTACAGTGTGAATTGTATTTGTTTCAACATACAATGGGTAGTCTGTTTATAATACCAGTCAATTTCATCCAAAGAAATTTTCCACTAGTAGAGAAAATTATCTGAGCATTGTGTTTTGAAGCATCAAATTCATCCAGTGAAATTTGCCAATAGCAGAGAAAATTACTGTGCGCTTTGTGTTTTTTGAATTTGATGATTGTTTTGTACCAACACAAAGCATTACAGATTATATGATCACATAGGCATCCCCTTAGGAAGATACGAGTTAAATTTCTCTATGAATTTCTGGTAACATCATACTAGGGAAATTTCTGCAGACAATTTTCTCTATGTGGATTGTGTTGACAATCACAATAAAAAAATATATATATATTTAACCATTGATAGGTATGAGATTTACATTAGTAAAAAAAGGATATATACATATATGTCAAGCATCATTATTCCTTCAATGCATGAAAAAACAAATTGAATGGTTGATCATAATTATATTGTGTACATTGTCTTCCTTGCACTAGTTTCACTATTACACTTTTGGTTCTTTTTCTGGAGGTATTTGAATTGGTTTTGTCCATGACCGGCCAACTTCGGTCACAAATTTCTCTATGATTTCTGCCCTCATCAACCTTATGTCCCTCATCAACCTTATGTCTTGTGTGGACAATTTTGAGCAGATAGGTTTATGCTTGCTATATTGTCTCATTATATAGCACACAAAGAGGTCACAATTCATACTGCATACAAATTATAGGTATAGTTAGTTATAAGAAACACTCAAATCAGATTATCTTATTTATAGATGTTGTATGAAACTTACGAATCACTGTCTTCTTGTGGAGCATTGTTGACATACTCAAAGTTGTAATTTGTGTTTTGTGAGTTTATCAATTTGAAAAAGGGTTGTGATTGTGCCTCTCTTTCAAGGCAAGCTTTCAAAAAATTCTCCACATAATCTTACTGCGAAAAAATAATTTTTAAGTACCAGAGAAATTTGCGGACAAAGCAATGGGATTCTATAAAAAATATCATCACATAAACATTATGATGGAATCACAGAAATTTGCACTTGTTACCAATTGTTTTCCATCTTTGACATATTTGTCTTCTGCATCATCCCTCCTTGGCCTTAGTGAGTTGTAGAACCTCCATAAATTGTCTTGTTTGTCGAGGACAAGCAAAGTCTAGTGATTTCTATGTGTTGACTTCTTATTACCCCCAATATTTATTAGGAAATAGAGGAATCTGTAGTTCCTCCATGTTGTTTCAATATGCTTGTCAAATAATGAGACTCGAAAAGTTTGATTTTTCGTCATTTTGATGAAATTTTGTGGTTAGAGAAAATCAAAAAATGGTTATGTTATGAGAGAGTTGAAATGATAGGAATTTAAG